ACTCAGATATCAGTGGCTTTCATGTTGCTCAATCTGAAGTTTTCTCAGGTGTTATTGTCATTCATATTGCTCAATCTGTAGTTTACTCAATTAGTGGTATTCATTTTGCTCAATCTGTAGTTTACTCAGATATTGGTGGCATTCATGTTGCTCAATCTGTAGTTAACTCAAGATATCAGTGGCATTCATGTTGCTCAATCTGAAGTTTTCTCAGATGTTAATGGCATTCATGTTGCTCAATCTGTAGTTTACTCAGATATCAGTGGCTTTCATGTTGCTCAATCTGTAGTTTACTCAAGATATCAGCATGATCAGTGGGACTGATGTTGCTCAATCTGTAGTTTACTCAGATATCAGTGGCATTCATGATGCTTAATCTGTAGTTTACTCAGATGTTAGTGGCACTCATGTTGCTCAATACGTAGTTTACTCAGTTATCAATGGCATTCATGTTGCTCAATTTGTAGTTTACTCAAGATATCAGTGGCATTCATGTTGCTCAATCTGTAGTTTACCCAGATATTAGTGGCATTCATGTTGCTCAATCTATAGTTTACTCAGATATTAGTAGCATTCATGTAGCTCAATCTATAGTTTACTCAGATATTATTTGCATTCGTGTTGCTCAATCTGAAGTTTTCTCAGATGTTTATGGCATTCATGTTGCTCAATCTGTAGTTTACTCAGATATCAGTGGCATTCATGATGCTTAATCTGTAGATTACTCAGATGTTAGTGGCACTCATGTTGCTCAATACGTAGTTTACTCAGTTATCAATGGCATTCATGTTGCTCAATTTGTAGTTTACTCAAGATATCAGTGGCATTCATGTTGCTCAATCTGTAGTTTACCCAGATATTAGTGGCATTCATGTTGCTCAATCTATAGTTTACTCAGATATTAGTAGCATTCATGTAGCTCAATCTATAGTTTACTCAGATATTATTTGCATTCGTGTTGCTCAATCTATAGTGTACCCAGATATTAGTGGCATTCATGTTGCTCAATCTATAGTTTACTCAGATATAAGTGGCATTCATGTTGCTCAATCTATAGTTTACTCAGATATTAGTGGCATTCATGTTGCTCAATCTATAGTTTCCTCAGATATTAGTGGCATTCGTGTTGATCAATCTGTAGTTTAGTAGTTTACTCAGAAATTAGTGGTATTCATGTTGCTCAATCTGTAGTTTAGTAGTTTACTCAGAAATTAGTGACATTCATGTTGCTCAATCTATAGTTTTCTTAGATATTAGAGGCAATCATGTTGCTCAATCTATAGTTTACTCAGATATTAGTGGCATTAATGTTGCTCAATCTATAGTTTACTCAGATATTAGTGGCATTCGTGTTGCTCAATCTGTAGTTTAGTAGTTTACTCAGATCAGAAATTAGTGGCATTCATGTTGCTCAATCTGTAGTTTTCTCAGGTGTTATTGGCATTCATATTGCTCAATCTGTAGTTTACTCAATTAGTGGTATTCATGTTGCTCAATCTGTAGTTTACTCAGATATTGGTGGCATTCATGTTGCTCAATCTGTAGTTAACTCAAGATATCAGTGGCATTCATGTTGCTCAATCTGAAGTTTTCTCAGGTGTTAATGGCATTCATGTTGCTCAATCTGTAGTTTACTCAGATATCAGTGGCTTTCATGTTGCTCAATCTGTAGTTTACTCAAGATATCAGTGGGACTGATGTTGCTCAATCTGTAGTTTACTCAGATATCAGTGACATTCATGATGCTTAATCTGTAGTTTACTCAGATGTTAGTGGCACTCATGTTGCTCAATACGTAGTTAATCAGTTATCAATGGCATTCATGTTGCTCAATTTGTAGTTTACTCAAGATATCAGTGGCATTCATGTTGCTCAATCTGTAGTTTACCCAGATATTAGTGGCATTCATGTTGCTCAATCTATAGTTTACTCAGATATTAGTAGCATTCATGTAGCTCAATCTATAGTTTACTCAGATATTATTTGCATTCGTATTGCTCAATCTATAGTTTACTCAGATATTAGTGGCATTCATGTTGCTCAATCTATAGTTTACTCAGATATAAGTGGCATTCATGTTGCTCAATCTATAGTTTACTCAGATATTAGTGGCATTCATGTTGCTCAATCTATAGTTTCCTCAGATATTAGTGGCATTCGTGTTGATCAATCTGTAGTTTAGTAGTTTACTCAGAAATTAGTGGTATTCATGTTGCTCAATCTGTAGTTTAGTAGTTTACTCAGAAATTAGTGACATTCATGTTGCTCAATCTATAGTTTTCTCAGATATTAGAGGCAATCATGTTGCTCAATCTATAGTTTACTCAGATATTAGTGGCATTAATGTTGCTCAATCTATAGTTTACTCAGATATTAGTGGCATTCGTGTTGCTCAATCTGTAGTTTAGTAGTTTACTCAGATCAGAAATTAGTGGTATTCATGTTGCTCAATCTGTAGTTTAGTAGTTTACTCAGAAATTAGTGGCATTCATGTTGCTGAATCTATAGTTTTCTCATATATTAGTGGCAATCATGTTGCTCAATCTAGTTTACTCAGATATTAGTGGCATTAGTGTTGCTCATCTATAGTTTACTCAGATATTAGTGGCATTCGTGTTGCTCAATCTGGAGTTTAGTAGTTTACTCAGATAAGAAATTAGTGGTATTCATGTTGCTCAATCTGTAGTTTAGTAGTTTACTCAGAAATTAGTGGCATTCATGTTACTTATTTATAGTTTTCTCAGATATTAGTGGCAATCATGTTGCTCAATCTGTAGTTTACTCAGATATTAGTGGCATTCATGTTGCTCAATCTGTAGTTTACTCAGATATTAGTGGCATTCATGTTGCTCAATCTGTAGTTTACTCAGATATTAGTGGCAATCATGTTGCTCAATCTGTAGTTTACTCAGATATTAGTGGCAATCATGTTGCTCAATCTGTAGTTTACTCAGATATTAGTGGCATTCATGTTGCTCAATCTGTAGTTTACTCAGATATAAGTGGCAATCATGCTGCTCAATCTGTAGTATACTCAGATATTAGTGGCATTCATGTTGCTCAATCTGTAGTTTACTCAGATATTAGTGGCATTCATGTTGCTCAATCTATAGTTTACTCAGATATTAGTGGCATTCATGTTGCTCAATCTATAGTTTACTCAGATATTAGTGGCATTCATGTTGCTCTATCTATAGTTTACCCTGATATTAGTGGCAATCATGTTGCTCTATCTATAGTTTTCTGTGTAGTGTTTTGAAGACTGTTGTTTGTTTTTTCGTCATTTTCGTCGAGCCTGTGACATTTATGTCGTAAAAGCGAAACATAGCGATCCTAGATTGTGTCGTCGGTGTCGATGTCGTAGGCATCTACATTTAGGTTCAGTCTGTGGTTAAAGTTTTTTTAGACATCAATAGCTTTGTCAAACCTTCATGGAATTTTATGAAATTTGGACAGAAGCTTGTTTATGACCAAAATACAGTATCCAGAGCAAAATTTAGAAATATTTATTTTCATTTTGCCGTATTTTACTGATAAATGGACTTATTTTTTTTTACATTTAACAAGTAGATGTAGTCTGGGGTTAAAGTTTGTTAGACATCAAATACTTTGTCAAACCTTCATAGAATTTTTTCGTGATTAAGAGACAATGTCTGAAGCAAACTTTTGAAAATATATTTTCATTTTCAGTATTTTTCTGATAGATGGACTTAGTTTTTTTACAGTTAACATTTACAGACAGTCTGGGATTAATTTTTTTTGACATGATAAGTTTGATAACCTTCATGGATTGTTATTAAATTAGGACAGAAGCTAATCTTCAAGACCAAGAAATAGCATCTAAAGAGAAAGTTTGAATTTTTTTTAAATTCTTTATTTTATTGATAAATAGACTCACTTTTTAAGTCAACATTACACTTTTACACTGATAGCAGTAATCCTAGGCGAGACACAGGGTTCTGCAGAACCCCTTACACATTTTTAGCTTTAACAATGGTATTGTTTGATTTCCTTGACTTATAGTGTTTGATTTCCCTGACTTATAGTGTTTGATTTCCTTGACTTATAGTGTTTGATTTCCCTGACTTATAGTGTTTGATTTCCCTGACTTATAGTGTTTGATTTCCTTGACTTATAGTGTTTGATTTCCCTGACTTATAGTGTTTGATTTCCCTGACTTATAGATAGTGTTTGATTTCCCTGACTTATAGTGTTTGATTTCCTTGACTTATAGTGTTTGATTTCCCTGACTTATAGTGTTTGATTTCCCTGACTTATAGTGTTTGACTTATAGTGTTTAATTTCCCTGACTTATAGTGTTTGATTTCCCTGACTTATAGTGTTTGATTTCCCTGACTTATAGTGTTTGATTTCCTTGACTTATAGTGTTTGATTTCCCTGACTTATAGTGTTTGATTTCCTTGACTTATAGTGTTTGATTTCCCTGACTTATAGTGTTTGATTTCCTTGACTTATAGTGTTTGATTTCCCTGACTTATAGTGTTTGATTTCCCTGACTTATAGTGTTTGATTTCCTTGACTTATAGTGTTTGATTTCCCTGACTTATAGTGTTTGATTTCCCTGACTTATAGTGTTTGATTTCCTTGACTTATAGTGTTTGATTTCCCTGACTTATAGTGTTTGATTTCCCTGACTTATAGTGTTTGATTGTCCCTTTGGTTTATTTTCCCTATTTTTACAGTAACTTAAAATCTTATAAAATTTCATTCTGATCAATGAACCATGAGAAGAGGTCAATGTCAAATGATCCATATAAGAATAAAAAGTACTCATAACAATCATTCCACATACACTATACAGTTAACTTATTAATCAAAAGTGATTGAAAAAAAACTTAATGATGATAAATGAATCAGGAAAACTAGGTAAGTCAGATGAACCCTGTCAGAGGAACAGTTCTGTAACAAAATGTCATTATTACAATATTCTGCTGTTTAATCAGACCATAACTAGTTTTGAACAACAATAATGTTATCAATAAAATTTCATTATATTCTTTTTATTCATGAATTAGATAACAAAGAAATATCTCATAATAAACCTCACTATTAACTCCATACATAAATAAATCATCTCATAATAAATCTCACTATTAATTCCATATATAAATAAATCAGTACAGTATCACAGTTACATAATCCCTCAACTATAAATTCTAATTCTTTGCTGACGTTGAAAGCAGGAGATTTATCTGAAAAAGAAATTAAAGAACATAATCAACAAGAAAGGCTAGTGATCTAGATAAGCAGTCAACAATATCTAATCTTTAATACACATATATACTTTACTTGTTTTGTATATAATTATGATAAACCTAGATGCAATGATCAGCATCATACTCAATTCAAAAAAATTTGGAATCATCACCTTCCAATCTACAGCAATAAAAAAATGAACACCACTGAGGAAGAATCTTTCATATTATAATATATTCTTATATTTTATTTTATCTAATGATGATGTTGATGGACGGCTGTTTAACGTTCAGTGCCAAATTAATATGCATATTCAGGACAAGACCATGTTAATGTAATATGAATATTAACCTTGCTTTGTACTAGACCCGACACTTAGCTGGATTTTTAACGTGCTAGTTCACAAGGTAACAGTCCGCAGGAAGACATGTCATCTTATCCAGACACATTATTCTGACTCTGAGCCAACCAGTCTTTGCTCTTACTCCTTAATGCCACGTGATAAGCGGAGAAGCAGCAAATACCAATTTTAAAGTCTTTGGTTTGACCCGCACTCCAGGTGAACACACTACCATGAGACCACCGAGGTGGTTTTTATCTAATGAAACTGTCTAAGCTTATCCATGGAGTAAAATTGTGAAAGTACAGGAAACCAAAGTAGCTTGCCAATGATCAGAGAAAGACTCAAATTTTTACACTAGTTATGATAGAATGTGTACAGAACAACCTAACATACACAGGTCAGTCATCAGCAAATGCCTTGTTGGTCATGCATACAGTAACTTTGGACAGACCTAACTTTGAAAATCTAATCTGATCACTGGAGTATAAAAATGATATCATGGTCGTATGAAATATGTCCACTAGACAGGTAATCCTCAAAACCAAGCCATATACAAAGTGTTAATGACATACCAGGTATTGCTACTTAGCAAAATGACCAATCCTGAAAAAACAACCTGACCACTGAAGCATGAAAATGCAGTCTAATTTACCTTAACTACTACCCGTTGTGTTGTTATATAATCAAAATGATCTAAAATCCCCGATGGAAAGATTGGAAGAATTGTGTGTATAATTTCAATCATATTTTACTCTTCCATAGCAGTGGTGATGGACAAGGAAAACTTGCTATAACACTATTGCATATTTACTAGTTACATTACTGCAGATTTTTTTTAGAAAGATAAGCAACTTTATAGTGCATTAAATAGTTTAACAGAGATCAATATCAGTTGGTCACTAATTTGCATAATAACTTCTTTTAAATTGCAACTTAATATTTATATTTTTTGAAACAGAAGAAATTACCTAATAAAAAAAAATTATTGTAGTTTCTCAGTAAACATTGGACCAATGGATAAAGAGACTTGAAACTAAGTCCTATTTTATCTCCCAAAATTTACAATTGTCTTATTTTTTTTAATGCAGTAAATCAAAAGTTATATATAGGTAAATGATTAAAATCTATCATCTGTATTCATATTAAAGAAATACACATTTAATATTTATGTTAACAATATGTACAAATGTATCAATTACACATGAAGACAGAGACCACCTAATGACACTGACCTATACAGATCAAACATCTATCTGATACTAATGAGGTCAAGTTATTGTGTATTGAGTGGTCTGTCATGTTATGTATAAACTCAATAGTTATGTAATTTTGTCAATTATGATTGGCATTAAAGAGGAGGAGTCTATATACAATTCCAATTATTGTCCCACCCTTTGTGTTTAACTGTTCTTTGATCATGACAGTTGTCAATCATACTGATCTTGTATCAATACTCTTACTTAATCAAAAGGACAAAACTAGCCAGTAAATTGAAAAAAATAAAGACTTATAAAGAAAAAATGCAATAAATTAAGATGCATGTAACCAAATACATGAAATGTTTTACAGTTCATTTGGGCATCTGTACATAGGCATGAGAACAATTGGGAACTATATATCAGTGTGTATAGATTTAGTTACTGATTTAGTAGCAAATCTGTCTACTTTCTGTTTGGGAGGCTGTTGCCTTAGGAAAGAATTGGAACAAGTTCCAATCTTTCCAAAAACCAAATGAAAAGCATGTTACAAAGTCTACTGAAAGCATTTCAAATCTCTCTCTCTCTCTATCTTAAAATCTGTTTTTTCCTCCACATGACATAATCAATCATAATTATATTAACCTGCTCAATACTTGGAGTTGCCACTATTTGTTGGTCTTCCTCTGTATAATATTCATCCAGTATTTTATAAAGTTGCTGAAAGCTGTTTTGGATGTTTACCTAAAGATAAAAACTTTTTTTCAATAATCCTCTTTATTCATGAAATTTATGAATATTAAATTTATAGTATTCAAACTGAATGCATGATTCTTGAGAACTGGTTCGGTTTTTACTTTCCAAGTCTCATATAACTAGAATACCAATTGAAAAAAAATAATTTCAGAAAATAACTTTCCTGACTTTTTGACCATTTTCTTTCTATATTTGTCTGTATCAAATTATTGTGGAATGACAGGTTTCAGACATCTTACTTCTACAAAATAGAAGAATGCAAAAAAAAAAAGAAGAAGAAAATGCAAACTGAGATTTAACTTTCATTTTTAACACACAAAAAGGGCCAAACTGGCACAAGAAATGTGCGTTATTAATTATACATTTAATAATGACCAAAGACTGTCCTTGAAGACAGGGCAAATTAATATAAATTATGCCTTTTACCTTAACAGGCTTGAAAAGAATGACCTCGGTATCCCTATTAGCCAGGTAAAGTGCCATGCTCCTATGTACACTGACCAGCTGAGTCTTCATATTTTTGTACGTCTCTGCCACAATATCATGGATTTTTTCAGGCGTAGCAAATGGCTGGGAACTAAGTGACACACTCTTTATATTTTCTTCACTTTTCATGCTGATAACAACATTTGCCTGTAACATTTTTAAATTTTTTTTTAGAAGATATTGATAACTTAGCAAACAGTTGAGAAACTGCATAAAATTCAGTCAGAGGAAGAGTTGTGGATACAAAATGCATACCATCTTTTTTACATAAAGAGCGGACCATGTTTTAATAATGATATCCCCCAAAATAATTTCCATAATAAATAATGTACAGGTAGTTCACAAGGGTTTTATGTTAAAAAGGTTTTGTGAAAGGTTAAATGAAAGCCATCCAGCATAAAGGAAGTGCTAAAGATGCCTATCCCCTTATTTAGATATAACATAGCCTGTTTTACTATGGAAAATTCCCAAATTAAATCAAATGGAATAAAACATAGGAAATGCATAATAAACCCTAGTGGAGGTTTAGGAGTTGTCAATACAAAATACCCACAACTCCTGTGATTATTTCAAGATCTATGTTTTGCTATGAGAATTGCCAAAATTCATTAGGATTTAAAACAAAAAACACTCCAATTGGAGATGATTTGTAAGAAATACTCTGTGAAAGTTTCACTAAAGTCCATTCACTGGTGTATGAGTATTTACAGATATAAGATACCTACCCTTTTTGTAGATATGACATGTTTAGCCAGGGGAAACTTGCAGAATCATTTTGAAAAAAAAATACTATGAGGGGTAAAATATCAGAATATTCTCAGAGTATCTCAGAAAATTTCATTGAAATTCATGTGTTTTATGAGTAGAGAAAACTAATATTTTCTGGAAGTACATTTGAAACACTGGAACAAACAATTAGATTTGATTACTATTATATATAGCCAGTGCCCGCTTCATTAAGCAGACTGTACGATAATTGTAATTCTTACCCTTGATAAAAACATTTGCAATGGTGAAATGAACAACTCGGTGACATGGTGTATATATTCCTCACAAGTTTTCTTCAGTTCTTGGTCGACATCACGTTTGGAATCGACAAAATATTCTGTCACTTGTGGTGTTCCCTACAAGAAATTCACACATGTTGTAACTTTTATTTGTCAGCAACTGTGATGGATCCAAATGGTTTGTTCATCAATGTAAAGATCTACCAGTAATCTAAGATATTCTTTTATACTATTGAATCTTATTGTGAAAACTTGGATTTCAGAGAGAAATCTCCCTTAGAAAAAAATCAGAATATTTATTATATATTGTCCAATACCAGGCAACTATGGTAGGAATCAAAGGGAAGTTTTAAAGAAAGATTGTCACAAGTTTAAAGTTGTTGTGATAAGGATAGAAAGGTTTCATTCCTTTTTTTTAATTTAATGGTGTAATTAAAATAGAATAGTTAAACATTTAATATTCATTATTGCTGTGATTACAATAAAAATATCTTCTACATTATATTATTCAAATCAAACACATTTTTGATTTGTAAAAAACTCTTGAATTCATGTGTTTCTTAGTTTGTAGTTTCATAGCTTGCATGTCAAAATTTAAAAAAAAGCCTGTTCTTCGCTTGGTATTGAATCTAATGTTTAAGTAAAGCAGAATTCATCAAATTTATCAGATGAGAATTAAAGAAAAGTAAGTTATAAATAATATCTGTACCAACGCATTGACTAAAAAAATGGGAATAGTCTGTATAGAAATTGACAATCTTCATCCTTTATTATGTCAAACTCAAAAGTACAGCAACCATAAAGATAATAAAAATGAAAACATTAAAATAAAGTCTTCCTCTTTATTGTTTATAAAAATATAGTTTAGAAACTGTTGATATAATGTTTATGCATACAAAGGAGGATTAATCTTATATACATGCATAGCTTCCCATATATATTTCCAAAATTTGAATTTTGATAGCTCTCTTAAGGATGGAAGGGCTACACCATATACATTTTGAAAAAGCATGGAAACCAGATAGACTCCGACATTGAATCTATTCTAATGGATTTTGGATTTAAAAATATCAAGAGCTGATACCATCTATGGATAACATTAGCCTAAACTAAATCATCAGTTGGTGGCATACTTAACATAAAAAAGAGGAAAACCAACATGAAGAACTCTCCAGAACTAACGACTAATTTGGTTTTAACTTGTACTAAATTTATTCAATGAAAATACTTCTTATTTGAGGTGGTACCTAACACAACAGGGAGATAACTCTGTAAAAATCAGCTAAACGTTTTAATCATGTTGTATTGTTAAGGAAATATCAAGATTCTCAATGATCAAAATTAGTGTTTGTCAAACTGCTATATAACCAGTGAAATTTTTCTGATAAAGTGTTTGGTTCAAATTATTTGAAATTTTTATATTTTTGTCAAAGGGTCAAAGTAAACATTTTGTCAATTTTTTAGGAAAATTAAAGTATTAGTCAAGGTGTTGGGTACCACCTTAAGTAAACTTATCTGCATTTGAAAATGATGTAAGACATGAAAGAAGCAGCATAGTATCTGTTTCTATCTGCTATGTTTGTGTATCTATGGCCATAATTTTCTAAAAATGGCTTACTATCCAAAATACTTAATTTATGAACAAATAGGAAGGACCTCTTATGTATTTTAGACGAGCACAATGATGGAAGGACAGATAACGATAAAACTATGTTTATAGAGTGAGATGTTTGGAAAAGACCTACTGTGGATTCATTATTATTCCAGGGATACCAAATTTTGTGGACTTCGTGGATAAAGGTGAAGCACGAATTTAAATCCTCAATGAAGTACACATTTTCTATAGTCTCCTTTGTAGACTTTGGCTAAACCACGAAATTAAATATCCATGAATATACAATTTTTACTCAATCCACGAAAATTGGTACCCTTGAAAATAAATGAATCCACAGTAACATATTTACTTTAATTTTATAGACAGATATGCATCATATATAATACAATACAATTTCATATACTTGCTTTTAATCTTCTATATTTCTGTACAGAATACAATTCATCATATTGCAGTTAAAAACTGAACAGTTTTTTCATTATTGCATTAGGCAGTTCAGTGAGGTAAATTTTTAAAAACAACAATATACTAGGGCACATCATTTGCAAAATACTCGGGGGGTGTAGCTCCATATATGCTAACTTCACATGGCATGCACATCATCTGATCACAGAAAAATACTGGTATTAACTTATAGGTTCATGACATTTTATTGCATCAATTATGAGGTTTGAATTTGTTATAGCTTTGGTGGTATCGGAGCATATTCTACACCATTTACTTATTTACTTCTATTACGACTGGACGAATCAGTCTGGGACAAATCAATCTGGGACGAACTGTACAGACGGCAATAGATTTGGTTGAACTTTCAATATCAATGAAAACATGTGGAGACGATGCAGTAGATAAACAACCCAAGGCAAACCAAACCATTGACACACCCAAACAGTAAGTACTGGCAAATTTCATCATATCATTCATTTTTGGACCCATGATCATGAAACTCGAGTCAAAACTCTTAAAATCTGAGAATCACTTTTATGCACAGCATTAACTCCCTCATAAGGTAGGAAAAATCACAAATGCTAAATTCTCTATAATTTACGACAAATATCAAGCTGATCTTTCTTGTCATTAAATAATTTTAAAGAAAGAAGTTGCCTGATGTCTTAACCGCTGTGAAATTACACCCTGTGGTGAAATTCCACCACTTTTTGTAAGACACTTCATGCCTAAACAATGTTCTCTATCGGTCTATAGATACAATAATGTGCATGTTGTTGACAATACCGGTTGCCAGCATTTCTGCTGGGAGGTCATTCAGCGTTCTTATGTGGATGAAAACTTACCTCCAGTCAACTATGAAGAATGATAGGTTGTCATCACTTGGACTCATGAATATTCACCCCAATTTTGAGGTGGATTCGGACAAAGCTCTTGAAATTTTTGTGCCTGCCAAGTCAGGAAAGGCAGATTTTGGACTAAGAATTTCCAAATCAATAAAATGATGTCTGAATAAGACTTCTATTTAAGTCTGAAATGCCCCCAGAATGCACCATTTTGCATCCAGTAAAAACAAAATTCTGAAGGGACAGACACCCCCCCCCCCCCCCCCCCCCCCCCCCCAAGACCCCTCCTTCTTTGTTTGAGCGTGCACATTATATGGATTCAGCTACACCTCTTGATACTTTTTTTTTAAATTTTAAAATAGCCAACTGTTTTTATAGCATTTTTCAGATTTAAATTTTGTTTTTATTATTATAAATGATAATTTCTTCAATATGTTCAGTCATTTTTGTTGCTACAGAATACTATTCTTAATTTTGCTCTTAAAACCAATCATCCTATCAATTTTTTATATTGTATTAATTGATGTTCACTGTTAATTTTGAAGAGTTCCAAGAAATGTTAGAAGACATTCCAAAAACTGAATGGGTAATGGTTTATAATCTGTCGTATATGTTTCATAAGAATCAGTACTTCTGATTGGCTGAAGGCAATCGCAAGGCATTCAAATATAAAATTGTATTTTTCAATAAAATTCAACATTCATGTTTTCCTATGCATTGTTGTAACATTGTCATGAGAAGCATGCTTCTCATGACAATGTTACAACAATGCATAGGAAAACAAAGAAAAATTTGCTATAACTCGTAATTTCCTTGGTTGTAGCATGAAACTGTAATTATAAGAATTGAATGCTTTTTTGTAATTTTATAGGGTTGTAAAAACATCAATCATGTGCACATTTTAAGTATGAAGGCCTTCCGTGCTATATACAAAATGTGCTTTGGTCAACTATTTTTTGCCCCAATAAAAAAAAAAAAAAAGAAGCATTCAATTCTTTATCATTTTAATGTGTATGTCCTAATACATTTATTTCTGTAGTTGTCCATATCTAAACAGTATGTAAAAGTCATAATTTCAATATCAGAAGAACATTTTTGGACACATGCACTAAATCAACAATTCAAACAAATTGTCTGTAAAAATATACATAACTGAAGACCATAAAGAATCATAAAGTCAAAAGCTTTTCAGATCAGACAATTATTTTTCATGCTTTTCATAATATTTCATCTACAAAAAAGTTCTAAATTTTAAAGAAAAATTATCTTTGAAAGTAGTGAAAGTGACAGTGACCCAAAAGCATCATTTTTAAACAAGGTGTGAGTAAGAAGTTATTTTTTTTGGATTGCTTAGTAAACAAAGTAAATGTTTCACCAAAGTATATATTATATCTAAAGAAGAACCATTAAATAGAATAGATGTTCAGGTTTCCAAATCTATATGGAAGTTAAATACCAGTACCTCAACTCACCTTTATTATTCCCTTATTGCATATTTGATAAACAATATTGTTAAATATCCACACAACAGTTTATTTGTTACAAATTGATATGTTTTGTTTCAAGTTCAATTATCACTCCAAAATGAATGTTAAAAACTAGCTAATTTTAAAAGCAAAAACTCAAGGTGCAAACCATATCTGTTTATTATAACCAGCCATAACCAAAGTGTAAACAAATAAAAATTTTCAACTAGAGACTGTCTTATTAGAATATATGCCCTGAACAAAAAAAAACTATATTACTTTAATTTTCCCAATTCCCCCAAATTCTGTCTGTTTATTCCTTATACAGATGTATTTTTATTCTAAATTTCATTCAGAGTTGTGTGATAATATCTGTCCATTTGTCACATTTCATCATCATAGGCTTCATGATTAATACTAACTTAATCTGTTTACTATTCCTGTACAACAAACTTCAATAACAATAATCACATGTTTCCAAGTTGGTCAGCATGTTTCATAAAATATGTAAATGAATGGATTTTTTAAAAGGTATCTGAGAACAGAAAACTTCACATTTCAATGAAAGATTGGAGGAAATGTTGTATTGACACTAAAATACCCTTCATTTATAGAAGACACTGTGGTGAAGGAAAGACACCACATCATATCTTTAGAAATATCTTATTAATGACCTTTTAGACATATTTTCAACAAATATGTTTAAAAAAATAAAAGAACTATGTGTCTGAGGACACGAACGCTCTCTCTGCTGAAGCTTTACAATATTTCAAGATGAAAAGGGGCATACCTCTATAATGTTGACATACTACCAAAATTTAAACTCTGTCTCCATGTTGTGGTTCCTAGCATTGTGTATGAGTTTTATAAAATTTGGATGAGGAAAACTAAAGTTAGAGTGTGGAAACAAAAATGGACAGAAGCACAGTTAAGGGTAACACTTTTTAAAATGCCCCTGTTGTCTACAGCAGGGGCATAAAAATCTTGTTAACACATCAAACAAAGCAAGAACGCACACATTGTAAGCTGAGCATATTTCCATTCGTTATTCAAACTACAGGAGGTAGGTGTCTGACAGACCCTAAAAGTGCTCTAACTTTACAACTCATGGCTGCCAAGCTGTTGACCAAGTATGAAGTCATTGGATCCTGTTGAGTAGTACTGGAGAAATATGTAACAAAAAATTCAGCATATTTCAAAATTCAAAGTACCGGTATCTGTATACAGGAAATAGGTGTCCTACAGATCTGAAAAGTGGTCACATGAAACAACCATCATTGTAAGACTGCTAACCATATATGAAGTCATTCTGATAAGTAATACCTGAGAAAAGTGTGACAGAAATATTTGTTGGACAAATACATGGACAGAAAAGGTGAATGCAAAAAACCCCACTCCTAGAGTGAGGGTATCATAATCATCATACCTCTAAAATAAATTGTAGAACTGCATTGTTACTGTTAAACTGGAATAGTTTCGACTTGCTGTGCATCAAACCATATGCTGCATCTGTGTTAAAAAAACAGCGTATCATGTCTTAACTGAAAGGAAAATGACTCAACTTGCCTTTTCGAAACTAAATTGAAAAGATTTGACTTCACTTACCAATTTTTGTACACATTTAAAGAACTGTAACAATTTAAATATGCTTAAATTCAGAAGTCAATGGACAATACGGTACCTGCTGGAATTTTTTTTAGAGCAAAACAATCTTAAAGGAAATAAGATGTAACAATTTTAGTACAACTACATACCAAATATTAATGACTTATTGTAACTAGTTAAAGAATTCTTAATCAAAATAATAATATCAAATCAACAATATATTTTCCATAGTCAAACTGGAATTCATGCTAACTTTAAAAACAATTTGTATTAAATTAACTTTCTATTCTACATATTAAACTTATTCATATAAATAGCCACTGATAGTTCATCCTAAATATGAAACAACAACAGGACAAACAAATATGTAATATAAAGAGAAGTAAGTTAAATAAAGTAATTAAAGCAATATAGTATTCAAGTCTTTAACATGTAAGTTTTTTCAGTATTAAAACTTCTCCCAATTCCCTCAATCTCTTTACAATAATAAAACATGCTGTGTTACAGCTATACACCTACCACCATCTACAAAATCTTTTTCTGAAGGCACAAACTCTAAAGCGCTTGTGAATTTAGCTTTGTAACCTTTGAACTGGAGTAAAGAACATGGAATTCACAATTACTTTTGTCATGTCTATTGTCTAATCAGAAATTTTCATTCTTTTATCAGAGAGAATAAAATATTTTTGAACATAATTTTTTAATGATTGTAAACTTGCTATTTTTTACATGTTACATTCAATAACCAAATCGGTCTTTCTCAATATCATAAATAGTTCAATTTGAATATTTGACAGACTGGCAGTTTGGTAGCAGTCAATTACAAAAAAGCTATATTCACAGAAGCTTAAGTATAACATGCAAGGTTTTGGGACAGACAACTATGATAGCAAAATAATCCAACGTACCTAGAATGCTGTGCAAACTAGGATCTGATGACATTAGAAAATATATGATTTACACTTTTCTTGGCTAAGATATAAGTCTATGTTAGGTATCCACAAAAGAGTTCATGCAAATTTGAAAATATGAATCTCCCAAATTTTTAATGATATGAAAATATGAAAAATATGCACCTGCATATATTTCTTATAATTGTAATTTTTAGAAGACTTATACTTTCCCAAAACAGTTCATTATTATTCTTCATAATCAGGGTGATCTTTCGTCAAAATTAAATCATGATATCACATTGTCTTGCTTTCACATGATTTCACTATTGTGACATCATGAAAAATGTGACAATGCCTGATGAGGTCACACATATAAGTAAAAGGATTTTTTGCAGATAATATAAAAAGAAGGATGCAGCCTTCATATTGTCTGAGAAATATTAGAGAACAATGTATCTCTTGTGATACGATAATTCTCATCTCTTGACTATTAAAAGTTTTAAGTTTTAGTTATAAACCTGAGGGTATTAGATTTCACTGTATGACCTTTAACAATGAATCAAAACCCATACTGCATAACAAGCTATTAAAGGTCACAACATGACAAATGTAAGACAGTTCAAGTGAGAAAACAAACGGCCTGATTTAGGTACATAACAATAAACAAATGCCTGAATATTGACCTTATTCTATGGTTTAGCATACTAAATGAATATTGACCTTATTCTATGGTTTAGCATACTAAATGAATATTGACCTTATTCTATGGTTTAGCATACTAAATGCAGGATATTGACCTTATTCTATGGTTTAGCATACTAAATGAATATTGACCTTATTCTATGGTTTAGCATACTAAATGAATATTGACCTTATTCTATGGTTTAGCATACTAAATGCAGGATATTCAAATACATTCAATGGCACCATGGTGAAATTATCTATAACACCTCACATTTTATATTAAAATTTTAACTGTCTTGAAAGGAGAAATATCATATCTCTCTTGATGCAGTGGTAGAAGATATATATACCGGTACTGTAAACCAACTTGTTTTTTTGCAAATTCTTAATTTGCGTTTAACCCTTTCTAGCCTACTTCATGGAGATTCATGTTCACAATTTTCTAATTTCTCAATGTATTTCTTTAAGGGGCAAAATTTCACACATTTGCAAAGATTTATTTTCATGTTATTTTTCTAATCGTAAAAGGGGCCTCGGTGGCAAAGTGGTCTTACAAGTTGAACTACTATATCACTAGCCTGTCAACACTGAGGTTGTGAGTTTGAATCCCACACATGGTAGGTGCGCTTGAATCCACTCATTATTTACTAGGATTGTCAGTTTTCCTACCAAAGGTCTCCAGCAACTCTGGCTTCCTCCACCAATAAAAAATGACTGCCACGAAATAGCACAATAGTGCTGAAAGTGGCATTAAACACCAATAAATCAATCAATCAATCAATGTTATCGCAAAAGTCACTAAAAATAAGTTGGTTTACAGCATATATCTTCAATTTGTATAGAATTTGATCATTTCTCAGCACATTTATCACCAATGTTTAATCGATGTGTGATCAATATGATATCAGTCAACTATTGGCTATTAAAAAGCATCACTAATTCAAAAATTGGCTGTTCAGAAGCAATCAATGTCAATTTTATTGTTTAGATCATAGTTTTACTGAGGGACTAGATTTCTTGTTTACAAGGACCATTCTCTGATTCATTCGTTTTAAAACATATCATCCAAATGAATATGCAATAATATTATTTATTGTGTATCAACATAATATTTCCAAAATAATGTAACGAAAAGTAAGCATGCAATATTCTGTGTTATTGTGCAAAATACAAAAATATGACAAAATATGTTTTAGACACTTTTACAAGCTTAACTGTACAATAAAAGGGATATTACATTAATATTGGTGAATATTATTCCTCTGAAAGCAAGGTCAGTAACCCTTATACACAAATATTCCAACTGAATATATAATTTTAATTCAGATGTGAGTTTTTCCACCCACAAAATGATATCCTACAGAAATATCCTGGTCTTCTGAAGTTAGAAATATTTGGAGGAAAGAGGCAGCTAGCTTGAAAAACTACAGGTAAGAAATTAAAAAGCAAAAATTAAAAAAAATCATTCAATTATGCAGAAATTATTTATTAAATAAATACCTTTGAATTTACTAAAATCAAGTGACGTCTCTCTAATAGTAAAATCTGCATGAAATGGAGCTATCTGCTCTCGCAAAATCAGCAAATGTTTAATCAAAAACAGCTGACCATCTGTTTTAGTCTGTGAAATAGAAAAGAAAATAATAACTCAGTGGCTACTATTTTATCAAATATGAATTACACGTCTGGCAAAGGTGCAGTTATATCCCACAATTAACCAATAACAAAATTAAATGCTAATCTTCTTCTGTGTGTAATAATAAATAACTGGAAGTTCCATGAATGATTTTTTTTTAGTGTGTGTGGGGGGGGGGGGGGGGGGGGGGGGGGGGGGGGGGGGGGGGGTATTATTCAACTGGTTCCAAAGCAATTATCATGTGGTGTAACAGCACAACAAAAGAACAAACAGTAATAATCAGCCTGCACCAAGTGTGCATGATACATCCTTATTGTGCATATTGAAATTGAAGTGCAAAAATAAAATGGGATATTCAGAAAGGTATTTAATCAAAATAAAAAAAAAAAAGGCACTGTAGTAAAACATTCATAAGGATACCCTAAGGCATATAAATATTGTGTCAAATATGACTGTTAAAAGTACGATAACTCTGGAATGACAAACCATAAATTTTTTAGAACAAAAAGTGAGTCTACATTCACCAATTTCAACAACAGTGTTAAGTTTGTAGTAATCTGATCCAAGCATTCTAATATGCATGACATATAAAAAAAATGCCTTTTATTTATCTGATCGTCAAAGTCCCATAACTGTGGAATGAAATATTGATTGTTTTTTTTAATCAAACAGTGTGTTATGTTCACCAATTCCATCAATTATGTTAAGTTATAAATATTGTGTCAAATATGACTGTTAAAAGTACCATAACTCTGGAAAGACAAACCATAAAATTTTCAGAAGGAAAAGTGAGTCTACAATCACCAATTTCAACAGTTAAGTTAAGTTTGTAGTAATTTGATCCAAGTTTACTAATATGTATGACATTTAAAAAAAATGGCTTTCATTTATCTGGCCATCAATGTCCCATAACTCTGGCATGAAATATTGATTTTTTTTTAAATCAAACGATGAGTCATGTTCATCAATTCCATCAATTATCTTTAGTTTCCAGTAAATTAATCCAAGCAAACTCAAGTTATGGTACAACATGTGAAAAATGTACTTAAATCTGACATTTAAAGTTCTGTAACTCTGGAACGACAAACCAGAAAATCTAAAAAATCGAAAGAGAGCTTCCTTTTATCAATTCAAACAATAATGTAAAGTTTTGAGGACATCAATCCAGGAATATTAGATTTAGTGTTAAAAATTACCTTAATTCTAACAGTTAAAGTCACATTTCTTTGAAACTACAAAGCCATAAATTTTCAAATCGAAAGGGAGCTTTTTCCGTCAATCCTAATGTTGTGTTAAAATTACATGGGAATTGGTTAAAGCAAATTTGAATTATCTTACAAAGTGTGAACGAATGGACGAACAATGATATACAATAATACGTCCCTTCTTTTACAGGCCAATAAAAATCAATGGAAATGGCTTGACTCATCAGATCAGCAGGATGCAAAAAAAAATAGAAAAGTTAACTTAATGACAAAAGACACAAAGTACTGATCTAAGAATACTCATAATTACTGAAAGCTATTTCAAAGCCAATAATAACTAATGAATCAAATTCTCCCATACTAAAGTATCAATTAGTACACCATTACCTTTCTTTTAATTATTCCTTCCTTGGCAATCTTCAGTGATGCTATACAAGACTGTAGTGCCTCTTGTGATAGACCTTGGAATGTTGTTCTCTGTAATTATAATTATTAAAAATAAACTGCTTCGCTGAGCGCAGCTGGATACGCCCGCAGAGGTCCAACCCTGAACAGTTGGGGCAAAAATGGACACAATATTCAAGCTTGATACAGGTCTGAATTTGGATTGAAATTAAATATTTGATATATTATAGGTTTCTGAATAAATGTAGTCAAAGAACTTGAAATTGGTTATATGAAAGATTTCTTGCTGTTGTGCAATACACTGTGCTGTTGCGCAATACTTAGTAAATCTGTTGTCAGACTATAAACAAATAAAATCTTATAACTCGGAAACGTAAAATCGAAAATTTATAGAAATCAAAAGGAAGCTTACAAAAATAGATATAAACAATTTACCAAAGTTTCATAAAACATGCTGAAAGCATTTTTGAGTTATTGTACGAAAACTGGAAAATCCCCATTTTGTAATGAATAAAACCCCATAAATCGGAAACGTATAGTGTGAAATTTATAAAAATCAAAAGGGAGCTCATGTCAATAGAAATAAACAATTCACCTAAGTTTTTTGCAAATTGGTGAAATTGTTTTTGAGTAATTGTCTGAAAACTGGAAAATCCCCCCTTTTTTAATGAATAAAACCCCAAAACTCTGAAACGGTAAATTCGAAATTTATAAAAAACGAATTGGAGCTCACGTCAATAGATATGAACAATTCACAAAAGTTTCATGTAAATTGGTGAAATTTTTTTTGAGTTATTGTCCGAAAACTGTAAAATCCCCCCTTTTTTAATGAATAAAACCCCAAAACTTGGAAACGGTAAATCCGAAATTTATAAAAAACGAAAGGGAGCTCACGTCAATAGATATGAACAATTCACTAATGTTTCATGCATATTGGTTAAACGGACGGACGGACAACGGTATACCATAATACGTCCCGTAAACGGGCGAATAAAAAAAGGTATGTGGGGTAAATATTTTTTTTTAATATCAGTAATATTTCAGAAAATAAAAAGAGATAAATGTATTATTTTTTCAATTTTCAGTTAAAGTTCAACGAGCCAAAGTTTTTTTCAAAATTTTATCAAATTGTGTGACATAACCCATTTACTGTAACTTGACCTTAATTGAAAGAACAGAAACCTTCTTTTCTTGCAGAACACAGATACCATATAGATAAAAATATTATTGATTGTGTTATCTGTTAAGATATTTTAAAACAAAATAAATGTGGATTGTGGACACATGTGGACACAGATGATGCCCCACTTGCATATCATATAGTTATAAAGGGACATAACTGAAGAACGGTACAAGTGACACTACCCAAATTTGAACTTGATCTGAGTTTTGTGGTAATAAGCATTGTGTGTAAGTCTCATAACATTTGATTGAGGCTAACTCATGTAGAGAACAGAAACTAAAAATTCAGCAATTTTTCTGTTTGTAAACACGCATAACTCTAGAACGGTTGTGAATAAGTTTTATAACATTTGGTTGAGACAAACTAAAGTTAGAGAACGGAAACGAAAAATTCAACAATTTTTATGTTTATAAAGGGACATAACCAGGGCTTCCAAAACGGTCATATATTCCGGACTTGACCGAAACTTTCATAAAAAGACCGGCTGCTCTCAGCCTCAAACGGTCAAATAGAATTGGCGTGCCACATTTTGTTATTCAAGGCATTTTCATGAAACGGTCATTTCAATTGTTACCAACTATCGATCGATAAAAATTTCCGTTTGGGGCTTTGGGCGTGTCCGTTTGGGCATTTTAGTTTATAATTGTGGCAATCTATTTCACAAAGATATTTCGGTCATAATTGGTTTTAATAAAACAGAAGCAGCATATTTCAGATACTTTGAAGTGTCTCAGTTAGTCTTATCCTCTGGGTACATAAATGTACGGCTTGGTCTTTAGCTTGTATACATCAATAAAAAGTAGAAAAAACACGTTTTCTTTTATTTAAATAACAACAAGCTGTCAAACAATTATCCCTTCAATAAGTTATATTGAAGCCATAAAATCATTCACTGATTACAGGTTTGTTACCTTTGATGAGGTGTCCTTAGCTTGTCTTTATCAATAGAATTAATGATGCATAACAATGTACATAAAGGTAATCAGGTAAACGAGGTCAAACATGTAAGCGTGTATGGAACAACATCCTATTTAATTACGCTTTATAGATATTATTTTAAATGAGCATTCAGTTTAAAAAAGTATCCTGATATTTAAAAGTTATTCTTCAAATAAGGATATTTATAAATGAATAAGTATGATATATATTATTTTATTTAACACTGTACATCGTGTTAAATACTGGGGTACTCTCAAGGGGAAAATTTACTAAAATATATAGGAAAAACACCGAGAATAGCTTCGCTTGGGTATACCAACCTGAGTTGTCCAATAAATAAGGGGGGCGTTCTCTATTCTTGTTTTCATATTAAAAACTGTTTTTTATAATTAAAATCATAAAGAATAATATCCAATCATGACAATCTCCGACTGTTATAAAGACTTTGTCTCAAATTGAACTTAGTAGGTGTAGATGTTAAAGACTTTGACCCTGTTCCTGCTATCCGCAAATGGCAATCCGTTCGTAACCGCCATGTTTATCAGAACAATGCATTTAGCAAGCTCATGAATGTAAAATCTTAAATTAGACTAAATGAACTCTAATCTTGTGCTGTGATCTGTGCTTCTTTTCAATGCGCTCATTGTAATATTTATTGCGTGTGTTTGTCAACATTGTGCTCTTCTGATATTTTATTGTTGTTATATGCTTACATAAAATATCATGTTGTTATTCATTAAATTATTTATCAACTGAGTATGTTTTTATTTATTCCTTATTTTCTAAATCAGGTTGGGAAATTGTACAAAGAAAAATGTTATCACTGTTCAGTAGATTTTACACGGTTGAAAACAATATCCTTCATTGGGCCTCCTCAATGTTATCTATAAATACCGCATCAGTTGTAAAAGTCACGTGGTCAGGTAATCAATACACAAAAAGAAAGTATCACGTGTATTGATGATCAAGTTGTACTGCAATTAAAGCCAACATCAACAGTTTCAAATAAGATGGCCTTAATTTACAAAGTGTTAAGTACTCACAGAGAGAAGATAGATTATATAAACAGAAACAAAAACATGAGAACAGTCAGGTACTGAAGCTGATTGATGCAATGATGGTTACTGTATTACGATACACAGAATGACTCAATACCGAGGATAATATTTTATTTATTTTTAGAATGAAGAAAACAAAACAGTTATAAATAATTTTATTGCATATAACACTACTAATTATTTAGACACATATATCAATTTATGCATCCTCTCAGTTACATTTAAGTATCCAGCTGATCATTGACCGTCAAAAATATTTCTTTGAAAAATGTCCGGCTGTCGTCAGGAAATTTTGGAAGCCCTGTACATAACTCAAGAATGGTAAAAGTGTCTCCACTAAATTTCATACTTAATCTGTATTATGTAGTAATAAGCATTGTGTATAAGTTTCATAACATTTGGTTGAGGCAAACTAAAGTTAGAAAACGGAAACAAAAAATTTGTACTTAATCTTAGTTTTGTGGTAATGAATATTGTGTATAGGTTTCATAATATTTGGTTGGGGCAAACTTAAGTTACAGAATGGAAACTAAAAATTTTGCAATCTTTTGATTTATAAAGGGGCATAACTCAATAATGGTTAAAGTGACACTACCCAAATTCAACTTGATCTGTGCTTTATCAGTGGAAGTCAAAATTAAACATTGCATTGTATAAAGCATTGATTGTAGTTGATTCAACTATAATCATGGACAAAGGAAGATAACTCCAATTTAAAAAATTACTTGATATTTATAAGAAAATTAAAAATTTGCAATTTTCCATTTATAAAGGGGCATAACTCTAGAATGGTTAAAGTGACACCACCAAAATTCAAACTTGATCTGTGTTTTGTGGTAATAAGCATGTGTATATGTTTCATAACATTTGGTTGAGGCAAACTCAAGTTAAAGAACAGAAACAAATTTTGGGACGTACGTACGTACGTACAGACGGACAAGGGTAAAACTTAATGCCCCCACCGCTACGGCGGGGGCATAAAAATGTCAACAATTCATCAACATGTAACAAATTTACAATCATTTATCATTTCAAGGAGTTATAAAGTTTACAACAGTCATTACAATGATATATTCTTACATCAATACATCTGTAAAGTTTGGAAAGAGTGACAAGTGTTCTACGGACTGTAGGGTACCACATCCCATGGAGGTCAGCTGGTGACATAGGCATAGTCATTGGTGTGGTCCTTCCGGAATCTGCAGAAAGTATCATGTATTTGTACATATGCATATTTTAATTATATTGATGGCCACATTTTCCTACATCTTTGATTTGCAATCTGAATGTTCTAAGCTGTAGTTAATTTAGATAAGTGATACAACTGAATACAAGGGGTAGATACAAAAATACAAAAAATCTACTCAAAATTTTGTTCAGCAAATTCTATGACACTCTAAAGGTCACAAACATCAAAGAAATAATCAGTTCTGAAGGCTGTAAGAATTCAATTTATCAAATAATAAAATGTTAACACAGAGATGTGTCTAGACTGTATGACCTTATAACAAACTTTAACAATTGTTCACACTGCTAACACTGGAAATAATACACATGCGCTGACGGAAAGACATATAAACTGTCCATAATCATATTCAAATTCCCATAAGAACTGTCTCAGAAATCACTACCATTCTTTGGAGAAAGGGAGATAACTCTACTGTTCTCAATCACACTCTTCCTCGTATTTGCGCAGTGATTGGTCATCATTATACATGTAGTTATTGCAGGGAATGTTTGGTCCATCAAAGGGTGGACTTAAAATAATTGAAGCCTTATGAAAATCCCTATAAATTGTTGACACTGATATATGTCTTACCTGTGTGTAATTTTGATAGTATAATGCAAATGTTGAAATTCAAAAGACTACACTTTAAAACAAATAAACTTGGCAAAAGTTTTGTCAGTGGACCATGACTTTTAATCCAGTGGCAATTATTTCATGCATATTCAGGACAATCAAGTTATTGAATAAATATATATAATAAATAAAGTGTCTTTTACATATTTAAATCTTATAATGTGTAATATTATTAGGGTTTCCAAAAATCTTAAATTGTCTATTTTTATTAGAATTTGCAATAGCTAACAATATTTTTTTACTTCAATGTTTCCACAAAAGAAATGATAAAAAAAAGCAAACCTGATGAAATGTCAATTTCTTTGAAGGAGCTTTCTTGGGCTTGACCATTCGTGGTGATGTCAGCCACCTCCTGACTAGTAGCAGATACTGTTGACCCTGACCTTGAATGGCCTGTTGTACTTGATGCATTTGATCCTGACCTATGATGACCTTTCTTACTTTCATTTTTGATGCTTTCAGCAATACTCTAAAATTAAAAACACAAAATTATCAAAATACCACAAAGTGATATGCAGTCGTAAAAGATATATGATGCTGGCTAAAGTCAGTTCATTTAACACTTATTTATTCTATAAAGCGCATGGACATAACAACATTTATAGTCTTGACAATATCTTTTTCTAAAGATTTAAATGATTCCATGTATATTTTGAATGTCATAAATTACAAAAAATGCCAAAAATGCAATCATTTTAGGTGTATTTTTTTTTTTAGATTTATTTAACTCATAGATATTTAATGTTTATTACAATGTGTTGCCAAGTAACAGACACTGCATACAACCTCCAACAGTTCCAGTTTTTCTGGGTAAGCCAGATCACCTTGTGCTGGTTTATAACTGAGAATGTCTTACCTCCATCATTTCCAGTTTTTCTGGGTAAGCCAGATCACCTTGTGCTGGTGTATAACTGAGTATGTCAGACTTTATATAGATATAGGTACGATAAACAAATCTTTCCTGGATATCCATCAACATCTGCCTGCAAACTGTTTCAAATGCCTTCAGTTCCTGTGCTGTAAAAACCAAGCAAAATATATTTACCATTAGAGCCAATTTTTGAGGTATAAGTAAAAAAAGGTTAAAGCATTTTTTTAAGCATCAAACAATTACATTAACAGAATATAGAATAATAATTTGTTCTCAGCTCAAATTTTTCAAAATAAGCTCAACTTTTAACCCCATCACATTCTGTTTGTATTTGGCCTAAGTCCGGAGCCTGTTACTCAAAGGTTGTTGTCGGTTACAGTTCTTAGTTTTTTGTTTTATTATAAATCAGGCTGTTGGTTTTCTCATTTGAATTTTGTCAAGTTGGGGCCTTCCATTGCTAACTATACTATATGAGCTTTTTGTCTTTGGTGGATAGTTGTTTCATTGGCAACCATATAACATCTCCTTATTTCGTATCAAGAACTTTGCTGATACAATATGATCTAGGAAGATATTATTGAGAGTTTGATTCAAATGTTTGGGGGAATTTGGCTATTCATGCCACTTTAAGACTAAAGCATGATACTAAAGATTTATTATTATTATTTGTAGGATACCAATTTTTGTGGATTTCGTGGGTAAACATGAAACCTGAATTTATATGTTCAACAAAGTACAAATTTTCCATAGACTTGTACACAGACCTTGGCAAAACCATAAAATCAAATATCCACAAAAATACAATTTTTCCTCAATCCACAAAAATAAATAAATCCAGAGTAACGATGTTTTCCTTTTCTGCAAACATAGCAAATGCAGGTTTAATTGTTCAATCTTAAAAAAATGTAAATGTTAAGTCATGAAGCAAATTTTGAGGGAACATTTTTAATTACTTCTATTTTATTAGTGTTTAGGTATATATATAATTTTTCATAGATCCAAATGTCTCTAGAGTTTTAAAACATTAAGCATTTCTATCCATTTGCTAGAGGAGTTTTGGTTTATCATTTGGAAATCCAAGAATTTACAAGTCTGAAAATAAAAGATATTACTTACAATTATTGAGCACATGTTCTTCTAACATCTCAATTTTAAGAATACTACACAGCTCTGATAGTGTTTCTAAATGATTGATGTGTATTATCAGTGGTCGGAGTGTATCATACAAGTGACTGCATAGCCTTTCTAACATGTCACTGAAATGGAAAACGCATATACTCAATTGTTCAGCCAAAAATATTAACAAAGTCCTATCTTTGTGTGCCACATTTTTAGTAAATAAATGAGAAGATATGAATAGGCACCAAAGTGGCCCTGAGATTTCTATGATTTTCAGAATAAAATATTGAATGTATGAACTTAGACACAACAAAGACATTTTTCTTTTGATCATTTCCTTTTCACAGATTACATATTTTAAAAATAATAAAATTACACAAAATAGTGATAATTTGACTCTGACACATATACTAAAAACAATATACTGTACAAAGATATTCTTGTTGATTATTCATGTTTTATCTGTTTTCCTCCTCATTACATCTGTGACATCTGCCACTGCTAGACTTTTGTATTAAAACACAAAGCACATCATATATACATTGGTTGAAATAAAAGTGTACACTCTTTTTCAATCAAGTGGTATCTCAAATTTGAGTCAAATAGCACTTTTGTGAGAATTATTTTGCCAAAATGGCTGATATTTTCCCACTGTTGTCCTCAAGGGTAAGCAACTTATTGTCTAAACATTTCCTTAAGAAAAAAATGATTTGTTTTTGTAGTGTCTAAACTTTTCTAAGTACAAAACAAAACCATGACAAAACAGTGCCCTCTGAAGTCAGCATTACATGAAGAAGAAAAAATAACAGGGCAAAACTACTTACTCTAACAATGAAGTTGGTTTAGAAAAAAAATTAAAATATAACTGATATTCATCTTCACACACATGAACCATAAAAGCACACCCACTTCTCATCTGAAATGAAAAAAAAAGACTGATGTGTTGTCTTCATCACACTGTATCAATTAATCCCAAAATTAACAGAATTCATTGTAAATGTAATACTTAACTAGAGATTACAGATTATTAGTCAGAATTTTAATAAGAACTTTAATCATCATTATTATCATATTAAATTATTTCTCCATTTTGGGGTTATAATTAATCCGTTGTTCAAAAACCTTATTTTGGAGTAAATGCACTGTAATATTGTCAATTAACTTCTAAGTATTAGCATAATTTGTATGTTTGCTTTATTTCTTTGTAATTTTTTACATGGTCTAGTTCTGGTTAATTTTTCTGAAAAAAAAAAATCCATCAAATTTGTAGTGCTATATTTTTATACGGAATAACAGTTCTAAAGTTGAAGAGTTGCTGCCCATCAAAATTGCGATTTGACAGTGGCAAATGCAATTTTACTGGCAATGCATATCAGAGTCAGTAAAATGGATATTTCTGACAGTCAAATCCCAATTGATATCGGCAACTCTTCAACTAATGCACTGCAAATAGAAATTGTACATCAATGCTTGTAAAAATTGTAAAAAATTTAAGATAAATAAAATTTTATGAAACTTTATGAATGATTTTGGAGAATAAACATCATGGCAAATCATGACATCATAATAATCAAAACTTTTAAACTGAAGGTTATTTCATTACTTGTACGATTTTGATTTGGATAAATCTCATAGACAATGTTTTGGAGGAATAATATGCTTTATATTCGATTATATTTTATTAACAGATCATTTTTGAATTCAAAATGGCAGCCAAGATATGTTAATTGTGGATTTGAAGGTACATTTTAGCCAATTAAAAAAGTTGTTACATAGAAACTGACTTAGAATACAAAATAACTGTTGAATTACTGTGTAATGTGAATATAATATTTTATGCATATAGATATACCAAAAAAACACTTAGGGCTAATCCTGAAAAAATTATCAATTATATACATAATTTACATGTTATGAGGGCAGTATTTAAATCTCAATAAAACAGATGGTGGGTGACAGATCAAAGTGTCTCTTCCCTCTCATTCTTCTGGAATTATCCTATTGATGGCTTCATTGTAATCAAACCTATAGCCAGGGGTTTCAGGGGGTTTACATTAGTCTCTGACAAAGCTTTCAAATTTCCAATAGTATGTAATAAAAAAAATGTTTGCATGACATAGACTTACAAATAATACTAACCAGAGTGCAGTGATCACGAACATGTTTTGAAGCTAAATCTGTTATTGTTGTTGATATGCTTGGCCCTAATAATAATTCTCGTTGATTAAAATAGCATTGGTGACAATCAGATAAAATCTGAAGATACCTGAAAAGAAAAATATTATAGGTTGAAAGCTTCCAATAATAAAAGAAAAAAGCCAATTTATTAGTTATTCATTTAACCAGAGGCTCCACACACTTGTATCACTCAGATACAGAATACCCTTGACCACTATGTTTTGGTAAAACGAATTTGACCCATGAAAATGACTGAGCAACTAATAAAATGCTCAATTTTTTTCCCCCTGTTAAATTTGTACTCATTTTGCTTTAAAATATTTTTAAGGAATTAACTTTCTTTAATTGGAAAATTGCATTTGATAAGTGTCAGCCAATCTCAAAACTCCTTAAAGATATTCCAGTCAAGAAGGTTTACCAGACAATGTTTGCTAATTTTCACAAAACAATTATTACCATATAATTCTTGTGCAATAGCTAAAATACTTCTTTATTTCCCCATCAAAATCAACATAAAGTAGCATAGTAATTTTACCCAAAAAAATTTTTTTTGTTAGTTTTCTTCTAATTGATTTGGAAAATTTCTATTTATAGTGTAGTTAAGTGTAGGTTGCAACAATGTTACAAAAATAACTATGCATTAAATGTTAACCTGTATTTAATCATTATCCAAAATTTCTACACAAAAAATAAATAAGCTTTTATTCTTCAAATCACTTTTTTAAGGGCAGAGTAATATATTTTTGAAATGGTACAATTAAAACAATAATTTTCACATGAAATAGATCAATACTATAAATTCACAAATTATTGTTATGTTTTTATTATTGCAACAGGGTTATAATCGCAATAATTTAAACTCGCATTGTGAAATTTTTTATATGAATTAAAAAGGATTTTTCTCAATATCGCAAAAATTAAAATCACATTTTAGTCTAAAATGACAAAATCGCAATAATAAATGCATGCAATAATTTCTGAATTTACAGTACATTTTGTAAAAGTTTCTTCAAAATTTGTATTGACTCGATTTTCCACTCAATTAGCTTGCTCTCTTAAGATTTTCAGTAGATATTTAAGTAAACAAGAATGGGTGCATAGATATACATTGCCTACACAGTAATCTATTGATAGCTAAAAACATGTTTATTTGACAGCCTCTTTAAGTTAAGTTCTAGTACTTACTCAGGACTTTTATCTATACGGATTTCTAACTGCTCCATTAATGCCTTGACTCTTGTAGAATTGGCTCTAAATTTTCCATAAAACAGAGTAAAAGCATTATCACCAATACTTGGAGATTCCTGAAATTACATTTGTACAATACATGATAATTTGTTATGGTCTGTGATCAATAAAAACTGTTTAAAGCAATACACTGGTAACAATACCAGGGTTTTATATGTTAAATTTTCTTTTTATCTATGTTTAATTGATTACATGCCATCTGAACTAATTATCATTGAAGATTTGGGTGAAAATAACAAGATGGGTACCTTTTAAGTTCGCTTGTAATTTTCAAGAATAACTAAGATGAAAGTTTGAACTTAAGACCGCATTAATCTATAAACATAAGTTATAGACAGCCATCAAATATGTGCTCAATTAAGCATAGTAGGTTTCTATTGGATTTTCGGATTAAATACCGGTAGTAGTTTTTAGTTCTTTCATTTATTGTGCACCAAGAGTACTTGTACAATTGTACTGCTACAATCATAATTTCTGTTTGGATGGAAATCTTGTATAGAAGATATTATGGGATATGACCATTGACATCATGTTTTAATGTGTTGCGAAATAGTAAGATATAAGCGTAATCATAATTAGTTATTATTATATGTTGACATACTTATATTTTTTCTAACAATGTAGTACATACTAGTAATTAATTTCATACAAAATGCAGCACCTCAATTGTTTTCTTGATGCTTATAGAAATCTTATAAAATATGCTTTTAAATCAATATATATTAACTGTAATTATCTTTCCAATTTACCTTAGTTGGCTGGACTTGCTGTGTAGCATTCTGTAAAATCTGGACTACATGAGTTTTTATCAAATTAAGGGCTTTAGATAAACACTGTCTAAATCTGGTTAGAAATACAGGTGATTCTTTATATCGAGGCTGAAAATATAATCCAAGAAGGCTTTTATTTTAATGAATTAATTATAATGAAAGTGAAAAATGTCACTGAAACAACCATATAAGTACCTGGGCTGAATTTTTTAATCCTTGCCTTTTAATACACATTATTGTGAAACATTATTCATAAATAAAAGTATTAAAATGAGCTAAAATGAATTATTGTGAAACATTATTCATAAATAAAAGTATTAAAATGAGCTAAAATGAATTAAGTAAATCATTCAAATTATACCTTAATTTTTTAACCAAACTTTTAGCTCTTTCTTTTTAATACTTCTATCATTTAATTGTACTATATTAATGGTCGAACAGATGTGTATTGGTGTCTACATCAATGGATAGACAGATATGTATTGGTGAGTACATCAATGGATGGACAGATGTGTATTGGTGTCTACATCAACGGATGGACAGATGTGTATTGGTGAGTACATCAATGGATGGACAGATTTGTATTGGTGAGTACATCAATGGATGGACAGATGTGTATTGGTGTCTACATCAATGGATGGACAGATGTGTATTGGTGTCTACATCAATGGATGAACAGATTTGTATTGGTGAGTACATCAATGGATGGACAGATGTGTATTGGTGTCTACATCAATGGATGAACAGATTTGTATTGGTGAGTACATCAATGGATTGACAGATGTGTATTGGTGTCTACATCAATGGATGGACAGATGTGTATTGGTGTCTACATCAATGGATGGACAGTTGTGTATTGGTCATCAAGTAATCATTTTAAAGAAGGAGCAAGTCAGTTTTATGTGGTTAGGGTGATTAAGAATTTTGACATTTGACAAAAGCTTGATTTAGATTTTACAATATCAAAGACAAAGGTTTATGTTCTTATTCCTATGCATTTGACAATGATCAACAAATTCCAGGTTTACTTGGCAAAGAATCCAGCTCTGATCACAAAGAGAACAACAGAGTACAATTTCTCTTTCTAATGAAAATTTTTTACAATACAAACATACATTATTATTTAGATAAAGTATACACTCATCAAGCCGTGATAACATTGGCACAAAGGATTCATTGGTGACTGTTAAGGATGGCAAACCAAGTTTCTGTAAAAGAAAAGGTCAGAAATTATATAATAATCTATGGCTTTGTACAATGTTACAGTGTTAGAGATATTAGAAGTCCCCTTGCTGTTTAATATTTTAGACATTTTCATAATATTCAATATATTCTATCATCAGTCTGTCTCTTTACTTTGTTAATGAATTACACAAAAAAAGTTTATTTCTGAAAAAATTGTAAATAGATAAAATTTCAATCTGGTCTTTTCACATAATTACAACAATGAAATGAGGCAGTTTTCTAGGCTTCCTATTTTCCTGTCATTTGCATTAAATATGTTAAAGGTTAGAAAACTAAATATAGTTTTCCTGTCATTTGAATTAAATTTGTTAATGGTTAAGAAAACTAACTACAGTTCTCCTGTCATGTAGAAAACTAACTACAGTTCTCCTGTCATGTAGAAAACTAACTACAGTTGTCCTGTCATTTATATTGTCCTGTCATTTGCATTAAATATGTTAAAGGTTTAAACTAACAAAAGCTGTCATGTCATTTAAAAAACCTTCTACAGATCTCCCGTCATATGCAATAGAGGTTAAGAATATTAACTTCTGTTCTGTCATTTATTGAAGGGTTAGAAAACTTACTGCATTTCTTCTGTTATATAATGCAGCCCTACAAGACTTACTGCAGTTATCCTGGCCTGCACAAAAGCCCCAGAAAAGTTAATGCATTTCTTTTGTTATACACTGAAAGCTCAGAAAACTTACTGCATTTCCTGTCATATATTGAAAGCTTAGAAAACTTACTGCCTTTCTTCTTTCATACATTGAAGGCTTAGAAACCTTACTGCATTTCTCCTGTCAAACACTGCAGCCTGAGAAAACTTACTGCATTTCTTCTGTCATACACTGAAAGCTTTGAAAACTTACTGCAGTTATCCAGTCAGACATTAAACTTAGAAAACTTACTGCATTTTTTCTGTTATACATTGAAAGCTAAGAAAACTTACTGTATTTCTTGTCATAAACTGAAAGCTTAGAAAACTTATGGCATTTTTTCTGTCATACACTGAAAGATTAGAAAACTTATGGCATTTTTTCTGTCATACATTGAAAGCTTAGAAAACTTACTGCCCTTCTTCTTTTATACATTGATGGCTTAGAAACCTTACTACCTTTCTTTTTTCATACATTGAAGGCTTAGAAACCTTACTGCACTTCTCCTGTCAAACACTGCAGCCTGAGAAAACTTACTGCACTTCTGTCAAACACTGCAGCCTGATAAAACTTACTGCGTTTTTTCTGTCATACACTGAAAGCTTAGAAAACTTACTGTATTTCTTCTGTCATACACTGAAACCTTAGAAACCTTACTGCATTTCTCCTGTCAAATACTGCAGCCTGAGAAAACTTACATCATTTCTTGTCATACACTGAAAGCTTAGAAAACTTACTACAGTTATCCTGTCATACATTGAAGGCTTAGAAAACTTACTGTATCTCTTCTGTCAAACCCAAAAAAATTAATGCAGTTATCCTGTCATTAAATGAAGACTTAGAAAACTTACTGCATTTCTTCGGTTATAAATTGAAGGCTTAGAGAACTTACTGCATCTCTCATCACGTACATTGAATGTTAAGAAAAAAAACTGCTGTTGTCCTGTTATACTTTTGAGGTTTAGAAAACTTAATGTAGTTACCCAGTCATGTCCCAGAGGTTCAGAAAACTTACTGCAGTTATCCAGTCATGTCACAGAGGTTTAAAAAACTTACTGCAGTTATTCAGTCATGTCACATAGGTTTAGAAAACTTACTGCAGTTATCCAGTCATATCACAGAGGTTTAGAAAACTTACTGCAGTTATTCAGCCATGTCACAGGGGTTTAGAAACCCTACTGCAGTTATCCAGTCATGTCAGAGGTTTAGAAAACTTACTGCAGTTATTCATTCATGTCACAGAGGTTTTGAAACCCTTCTGCAGTTATCCAGTCATGTCAGAGGTTTATAAAACTTACTGCAGTTATCCTGTCATGTCAGAGGTTTAGAAAACTTACTGCAGTTATCCTGTCATGTCAGAGGTTTAGAAAACTTACTGCAGTTATCCTGTCATGTCAGAGGTTTAGAAAACTTACTGCAGTTATCCTGTCATGTCAGAGGTTTAGAAAACTTACTGCAGTTATCCTGTCATATTCATTGAAGTATGATAGTTTATTGCTGATGTTTTCTGCTGTGTTCATTAATCTGGTCTGAAAAATAACACTTCAAGTTTTTATTTTATAATAAACCATTTTTTCAACTTTTCATAAATGAAAAAAGATCTCATATCAGCCAGTTAAATACTTTTAGCTTCTTTATCTTTTCTATAGTTGTTATTGAGGTGAGAGGTTGAAGCATTACATGTAGTCATTTTTAGAGGATGTTCTTTTTGTTATTCCACTGATCAAGATTAATCAGATTGAGACATAAAAAACTAGTGAAACTGCACCACATGTGCATGTTCCTTTCCAAAGTCAACTACAAAATGTACCTTGTCTGTGGTTTTTTCTGTCATATGGTGTTGACAGTAAATCTTTGATAGTCTCTGCTAAATTTATACAGTTTGTTAACACTGAGTGTGATTTAAAGCTTGATACATTGTATAGACACATGCCTATTGTTGATGACCATATGTTTACACTCAGTGTGATTTAAAGCTTGACATATTGTATAGACATATGCCTTTTGTTGATGACCATATGTTTACACTCAGTGTGATTTAAAGCTTGACATATTGTAAAGACACATGCCTATTGTTGATGACCATATGTTTACACTCAGTGTGATTAAAAGCTTGACATATTGTAAAGACACATGCCTATTGTTAATGACCATATGTTTACACTCAGTGTGATATTAAGCTTGACATATTGTAAAGACACATGCCTATTGTTGATGACCATATGTTAACACTGAGTGTGATTTAAAGCTTGACATATTGTATAGATATATGCCTATTGTTGATGACCATATGTTTACACTCAGTGTAATTTAAAGCTTGACTTATTGTATAGACATATGCCAATTGTTGACGACCATATGTTTACACTAAGTGTGATTTAAAGCTTGACATATTGTATAGACATATGCCTATTGTTGATGACCATATGTTTACACTAAGTGTGATTTAAAGCTTGACATATTGTAAAGACACATGCCTATTGTTGATGACCATATGTTTACACTAAGTGTGATTTAAAGCTTGACATATTGTAAAGACATTTGCCTATTGTTGATGACCATATGTTTACAAATCTTGACATATTGTATAGACATATGCCTATTGTTGATGACCATATGTTTACACTCGGTGTGATTTAAAGCTTGACATATTGTAAAGACACATGCCTATTGTTGATGACCATATGTTTACACTCAGTGTAATTTAAAGCTTGACATATTGTATAGACACATGCCTATTGTTGATGACCATATGTTTACACTCAGTGTGATTTAAAGCTTGACATATTGTATAGACACATGCCTATTGTTGAAGACCATATGTTGACCTTTAGATGACTTATAGATTTATTGTTGCTGGGTTAGTGTCTAATTGACATATTCCCAAAATCTACTTTTATCAACACCTCTCAAATGTTCTCAAATGATTGTATAAAATGTGCATGTTATTGTAATCATCATGTATTCATTAATGCAATCATTCATCACATCAAAAATATTTTTCTTACCTCATAATTATCCTCAAAAGGTTTCTTTTTTTTAATTGAATTTATTATATTTATGTTTAAACACTTTGATTGATTTGTTTTGTGCATCTTTCTGCTTGTAGTGCAAATAAAGACTTTCTTTATCTTTGTGAATAGCTGATTTGTACTTTGCATGAAATACAGAAGGGGTCTGTTTGGATGTCCATATTGTATAAACACGTGTTTAATTTAGTATAAATTTGGGTTATTTGTGTTGTTGGGTTGCTGTCTTATTGAGATATACCTCCACATCTGTTTTGATCTTATGGAATGGCTTTATAGGAGGTAAAAATACTGCTATATCCATTCTGATTGGGGATGTTAACGTAAAAATGTATATAGATTAGTTAGAACTGGAAATGACTGTCATACAAGTGGGAAGTTTAGGCTAGAAATATCATCTTAAAACAATGAAAATATGAACTTTTTTACAATAGGATTTTTTTTCTTGGAAAGTTTGCAGTAGTTGTTTTTGTTTACTAGTTTGTATTACATATATCATAAACTGTTTAACTTGTCATTGAATAATTTGACAATCTAAATTTTTGCATACAAATTTCCAATATGAATATAATGACTACAAAATCAGATGGCATGTTAACCTACCTGTTCTGTCAATAAATCTTCACAAGCTTCATGAAGGGCATTAGTTTTAGTAGACACAGATATATACTGATGTTGTAAACCATTCAGGAAGTCCAAAGCTCCAGAAACTTCTTGTAAAATGCTTTCACACTGGGATTCATAATGTTGTAACTCAGCTATGTAACATCTGTAACAGAAGAATAGCAACAATTCTAGATTCATAAGTGTTTCTCGTTTCTCATTTTTTATATAGATTAGACCGTTGGTTTTCCTGTTTGAATGGTTTTACACTAGTAAATTTTGGGGCCCTTTATAGCTTACTGTTCTGTGTGAGCCAAGGCTCCGTGTTGAAGACCGTACTGTGACCTATAATGGTTTACTTTTATAAATTTTGACTTGGATGAAGAGTTGTCTCATTGGCACTCATACCACATCTTCTTATATCTATCAAGTGTTTTCATTTAAAATAAACAGTTGACACAGAGATATGTCTCGCCTGTAGGCATAAAATTCAGAAAAAAACAATCTGATGGACAGCAACATTGCTAAAAAATTCAAAGTTGCTGGAACATGAACTAGTAGGCAGGGCCTGGAAATGGTCAACAAACTGAGATGTTCAAACAGTAATGTAACTTTAAAGAAATATTGTTGTCTATTGTAAGAAGTATCAAACTAACTTAAGCAGAAAACTTAACATTAATTATTGATAATTAATTGAAAGTCACTGTACCATGGAAAAGCAATACCTATGTCTCGACTTCCGAGACTTTGGTCGCAAGCGAGACAAAAATGATAAGCTGGTAAGGAAATATATAATTTCAGTAAAATACTATAAACAGTTTGACTTTTGGGCAGATGCCAATAAGATTCAAGCTTTACCATGTTTACTGAGCAGTGACACTTTTCTATCAAGATATTGAAGTCATTAAACATTATTATCTTCCATACATTCAATTATTTGTAGCATAGTAGCATCTATTTTTCCTCTTTCTTTTTTTTCAAGTACTCTCAGATCTGCACTTAGTGTCTTTTTGTTGTTGGGGTGTACAAGTACACATCCACGTCCACTTTGTGTTTTTGTTAGATGTATTATTTCTATTTGTATCCATCTGACCAGTTAAGCCTTTTTCAACTGTTTTTTATAGTTTGTTCTTATGTTGTACTGTTACACCACTGTCCCAGGTTAGGGGAGGGTTGGCGCCTTCAAACTAGTTTATCCCCGCCACATTCTGTATGTGCCCCACCTGTAATTCAGTGGTTGTCGTTTGTTGCTGTGTTACATATTTGTTTTTTGTTCATTATTTTGTACATAAATTAGGCCGTTAATTTTCTCGTTTGAATTGTTTTACATTTGTCATTTTGAGGCCTTTTATAGCTGACTATGCAGTATGGGCTTTGCTTATTGTTGAAGGCCGTACAGTGACCTATATTTGTTAATTTCTGTGTCATTTGGTCTATTGTGGAGAGTTGTCTCATTGGCAATCATACCACATCTTCTTTTTATATAAAAGTTAGTTTCTGTAATATCAATAATTAACTGTATGTGAAAAACAACATTTTTAAGCAAAAAATTAAATCAACAAAAATCAGTAAGAAACCCTGATAAACTAGTAGTTATTCTGACCATGAGAAATGTCAAATTCTACAATGCTTTTGGGAAACCAACCTGTAAGTGTCTTCATCTTCTTTTTCGATGTCATTTTCAAGTTCTGCAAACCAGGATAAAAACTTAAAAAGAAAGGAACATAAAAATCAGTTTAGATCTTTAATCATGTTGTACATATGAAGAATTTTTATCATCAAATCTTAGGTCCTGTAAAGACTGTATCTAAATTTACTTTTTTATGTTCTAAATAGTTTACACAAGAGTCCAAGAAACATTCTGAATTTGATAGAGCTTGCATTTGTTACAAAATGACAGAAGTCATGTATTTTCTTGTTTTAACATGATCCTGATCAACAAACAAAATGGTTAAGTCCCAAGACACACAAAACCTCATTTAGAGTAACTAATTATTTTAAAATTGTAGTACATTAAACAGAAGTGATGAAATTTATAAAGGTTTTCAATACTGATGTACTGTAATACTGGAAGTATGTAATCAGAAATGATGAACATTTGTTCTACATTCTACAGATATATATATCTACATATACATTTATTTCAGATTTTCCCCCAACTTTTTTCTCTTTTGGAGATTACATTGTTATCTCCCATGAACAAAAATGCAAGCAATGCATTCTATATACACTTTATTTCTCAAATATTCACAGTTTATAAAAAAAAATTAATGTCTTCTGTGCATGTTAATCAGTACTTGCACATGTTGCATGGGGATTTTATATATAAATATATATATATATGTCTAGATGTTAGTGGAAATGTTAATTAATGTATGTAATAACAATGATAATTGTAATGATTTTATAGTTCTGATCCTGCCTGGAATTAAATGTATGTGATTTTTTATAGAATGAAGATAATAACATCTGTCTGAACTTTTTAATGTTTCATTTTAATACATAAAAATGTTTTTCTGTTACAAATCATGATGTATTGTTTTATGTGTACATGTTATGCTGCCCATCAAGGGCCCTTGATTGAAATAATAAATATTCTTATTCTTATTCTATATACAAGTTTAAATTGAAAACAATGTTTAAACCTATGATTTTGTTGGATAAAAACCGCAATTAGTGTACTGTATCATAATTTTATGATCCATCACCCCGTAAGATTTATCGTTGGCTATTATTCAGTCATTTTATATATATATATTATTATTTTTTCCCAATGTACTATGTAAGTATGTTTTTAATATATACGTGTCAATAAGTGCATGTACCTGCTGAGCATTTTCTATCTTGCATGGGGAATCATCCTCATTTGTCTGAAAGAATTTTGTTATAGTTTCATGGTAACTTGGAGACTGGGGAACATCTTGTTTCTTTGATAATGCAAATTGTGCTTCATCTTCTGGTAACTAAAATAAATGTAAAATTAAACTTTAAGATAATACATATTTTTCAAGATAGATTTAACTTCCTCAGGTACAGATGATAATTTTTCTAGTCTTGATTACTGTTTCATGGGATTTTTCCAATTTCACAGAATTGTAGATGTTACAATGTAGCTGTCAGACATTATTCTAAACCCAAGGGAGATATCCACCTGTAAGCATTCTATGAGACATTTTTTTTTATTATATTCATATTTCAATCTTATAACAATCTGACAATGCTTTGTTCTACTTTCTGTTCTGATTATGGAATATCAATCTTTGAAATTTTTGCCTCCGAATTTTTGAAAGTCTATATCATTGACAACAACAGAGAATCATAAAAAATGGTCTACAAAGAAGAAAGTAAAACTGTATTTTAATCTGATTTATTGCAAAATAGGTTAGTACACATTTTTGTTTAGGGGCCAGCTGAAGCCCGCCCTCAGGGTGAGGGATTTTCTCGCAGTGTTGAAGACCCATTGGTGGCCTTCGGTTGATTTCTGCTCTTTGGTCGGGTTGTTCTCTTTGACAGAGTCCCCATTTCCATTCTCAATTTTATTTCAACAGCATACATATGAAATTTTGCACTATTCTGTTTTAATGATGATTAAATCACAGCAAATTTTCAGGAGTTTCTGCTTTCCTCTAAATTTACACAATTTTTTGTAGATCAGTGAAGAAGTTTGTCAGCTTTTTCGTTCTGGTTTCATGGTGAATAGACAAATTTCATAGTCGTGCATTTTCCCAGATATTTCCAATGCTCATGTGATTACATCACAGTAAGAGTCAATTTTTTAATGACGTCATATACATGTAAGTCGATTAACCTCAGGTCAACCTGCATATCTCATTGATAAAAAAGAACCATAAATTGGTCCATAACATTCTAAAAGTTAATATTATAATACATGAATTGTATATAACAATATTATATACACGGTAAGTTCATTCTTTTTTTACTTATTTAGGTCATTGTTTGCACATACATTGTAAAAAGGACAGTTTTGAACTAAAAATAAAAGCTTAAAATTAAAGTTAAGACTATATAATTATCCAATTGTATAATTAAATTGTAGATGGGAAATTGAATTAATCACCAGTTGGTTATCATATTTCACTCAATGAGACAGAGTTGGATTTTCCATTGATATATTATTTCGGGTCTCACTAATTAGCGACAAGAAGCAACAGTAGAATAAATTAGCGACAAGAGTATAATTTAGTGACAAGAAAACAAATTTAGCGTAACAAAATCTAAATATTAATTATTTCAAATAAAATGAATATTGAAACATGCATATATTGTTAAAGTGGGTTTTTTTTAAATACGAGAAACAAGATAATAAACATTTGTTCAAGAAAAGATTTATTTTCATTAACAAGGATATTTTTAAGATAATATATTTACAGTTTACAGCATAGTGTATAAACATGATAAATGAAAGAATCACTATTTATGTCGAGTTGGCATGGTTGGTATATTATCAAAGATTCAATATAAATTTATTGTTTTAATAGTAAATAAACTTTCTTGTCGATAATATTTTTCTTCTTGAAGCTTCTTGTCGCTAATTAGTGAGACCGATTATTTCTGGCCAAATACACAATAAAAAACTATACATTTCACAATTGACATAAAAAAATGGGCAAATTGGAATCTGGACGAACCTGAACCTGGTGAAAAAAGACTGAGGATGCAAACAGGAATTGATGGCATGATGCATAACATAACTTGCCAGAATATTCATGTTGAATGTGGGCAGTATTTGGAAGAAGAACTTGGAATCAATTTTATGCACTTCTACGACCAGGACTAAATAAATGCTCAAAAGGGAATGTCATCGCTAGTAGCTGTTAGCATCTGACTAGACTAAATTACTAGGGGCTGAAATTGCTTTTTGCACAGACTGTGTATGATTTACTGTAATTTTTTATTGTTTACATCTCAGAAGGTCTGACATGTCTGAAGGAAGTGCAATATCAATTTTATACTGACGTCTTCCGGTATTGCTCTTTCTGAAGCCTTTGTCGTCAACTCGATAATTGAATCTTTTTGTTTATCCGTCAAAGAAGCCTTTGAATTTGTTTTTGACTCCCATGCAGCAAGCCTATCTCGTATAATTCGTTGGTTCACCGGTTTGTTTTGCAACGTGTCAGCCATATTTGTTTTACAGAATTTCTGAAAAAACGAAAATATATATTTTTCCTTTTTTGCTTAAAATTCATATTTTCATGAATAATAATTGTTTTTTTCTCAAATAAAAATAGATAAAACAAACAAAACTTTGAAGCTAGTATGAAACGTAATAATTTACTATAAAAATTCGTTTTATTTTATTTTTATTATCTAAAGATGGCTACGACTGGAAAACTCAGCAGGCTGGGCAATAACTTTATCCAGTTTCAAAAGTTAATATCAAACTTTAACTAAAATTTCGACACTTCATCATTAAGAAATTTCAATATGACTCATGACATAATTTCTTGAATAATGACATATAGTATTTCTGTGAATTTCATCAATTTATTTTGACTAAACATGCTAAATTATAAATATAAAGTATGAAGATGATTGCATAAGCCATAATCTTTCATAATTACAAGGATTTATATCTTACTATTTATATCCTTGATAATAATAAGCACTTTAATACATTCTTCTCAGTTGTGACTAAATAAATCCTTTTAGACACAAGTAAATATTGTATTAACCTTTTTATATTGCAACAACTTGTGTGTAAATGTAACATAAATAGATAAAAGTTTATTTTATTGATTAATGCATTAAATATTTTAAATGATCATTTCTGTTTATCGTTGGCTTTTTGTGAGTTGTTACAAAACTGGGTTGCATGTCTATATCTTCTACAGTGGTCTTGTTAGCCCAAAATAGATAGGTTTCTAATGACTTAATTATTTGAGTTTGAGTTATTTCCCTTGGCCACCATTATGGAGTGAGCAACGGTTGATTTTCTTATTGACTAACCAAATTAAAACATGCTGTATACGAGCTTTATAAGAGATCCTTACTGGATGGTAGTGATGAATTGAGCAATATGTTAAAAGAAATAAAATTGTTCAGAAAAACCCTTTTTCTAAAGTCTAGCGGTCAGTTTAACCAGTTGGATTTGGTTGATTTATGAAGGAATTTGCACACTTAGCCCCCCAACATGGCGACCAAAGGGAAGTATCTCTTGCTCAAATTGTCTCAATCCCAACTTATTTATAGAAGAGAGGTGAAAGATACCAAAGGGACATTCAAACTCATAAGGCCAAATAAGAATATATGTGTGGTTCCAGTTACATCCTTAAAAAAAGGGTCGGTAGGTCGGCATTTAAAAAAACACATTTTGGGATTGTCAAAATCTGGAAAAATAATCGTGTCTTCACCAAGTCCGATTCCAGTATTATACATGCCCCTACCAGAAGTTACATTTTCTATATGTTTGGTTGTAAAATAAACAGACATGTTACGTTTTTAGTTTATTTTGTTTCATTCTGTTAAGAATTTATTGCATTTTTAGCCGTAGTGGAAACTTTTAATGAAAATTCAGAGGCCAGAAGTCTTTGAATTTAATTATTGAAATTCACTTTCCACAAAATGGGATTGTTCAAAATTTATTTTCCAGAAATGGAAAAAAAAGTTCTAGGGTTGGGGGGTTTAAACTTGGGTCGGTCAGGTAACTGGAACCACACATATATTTTTATTAAGTCGAAAATAAACTGACAAGGCCATTGCAAAAAAAGAAAGACTAACAGATAAACAACAGTATATAAAACACAACATAGAAAACTAAAGACTTAGCAACACAAACCACACCAAAAACCAGGGGTGATCTTAGGTGCTCCAGAAGGGTAAGCAGATCCTGCTCCACATGTAAAATTTATGAAGGGATGATTTTAACTTCACCACTTGGAACTCTTGGTTTAATAGCTTCCTTGTGAGCAGCAACCCTCTATCAAGGAAATCTTGATAGGAAATACAAGCCCTGGAATGTACTACAAAATTGCAGTTAAATTATATTATGGACACAGATGATTGCCCTAAGGTTAATCATGTTAATAGAATCAATAGATTAAACTTATAAGGTGTTAATTACCAGGTAATTAAGACAATGAACTTTATTGTCTATCTAATAATTAGTCCCCTACTGACAAAGTCGAAGGAGACTTAAGGTTTGCACTCTGTCTGTCTGTCCCCGTCCGTCCACAAATCAGTTTCCACACTTTTTTTCATCATGCTTGAAGATATTGATTGGAAATTGGTATATAGTTTTATCATGACAAGTTACAGATCATTTTCGAATCATGTTCCTATCTGATAATTTTTGTGCAGAGTTATAATAATAATAATAATAATAATAATAATAATAATAATAATAATAATAATAATAATAATAATAATAATGAATAATAATGATAATGATAATGATAATGTCAGATTTAAAGAGGGTAAACACAGTTACAAATAAAAATCATACATTCTAAAAAAGTAATAGTTGCAATCATTTCAAGACTGAATATTGGGACTGCCTCAAATATCGTTTTATAATTTGTTTAAAACAAAAAGTGTTTTGCACTTTACGCATTTCATATGGTAGTCCGTTCCATAAAACTGATCCAGAATAAGCAAAAGATTTTTTAAACAGTTCAGTTTTTGGCTTAGGAACTATCAAATTACCTTGAGTAACACCCCTTAAAGCATAAGGATTATTAACAGATATAAGTTGAAACTTTTGAAGTTATGGTCCTTGGACTTAGAAAATTCACTCAAATAATCAGTTTTCTGCACTTTTTTTTTGTCATGCTTGAAGATATTGGATTTAATAATTGGTACATAGTTTTATCATGACAAGTTACAGATCAAGTTCGAATTTTGTTTCAGTCTGATGATTTTGTGCAGAGTTATGGTCCTTGGACTTGGAAAATTCACTCAAATAATCAGTTTTCCACACTTTTTTTTGTTATGCTTGAAGATAATGATTTAATAAGTGGTATATAGTTTAATCATGACAAGTTACATATCAGGTTCGAATTTTGTTCCTGTCTGATGATTTTGTGCAGAGTTATGGTACTTGGACTTAGATAATTCACTCAAATAATCATTTTTCCACACTTTTGTTCGTCATGCTTGAAGATGTTGACTTGATATTTGTTATATAGTTTACACCATGACAAGTTATAGATCAAGTTAGCATTTTGTCATTACAATGAATTCTTAACCAGTAGGGGACTATGTATTGCCATGAAATACTCTCAGAATGCTTATTGAATTTAAATTTGATGAATGTGTCAGCATGTGTTATCTTCTGCTTGTCATGTTTGATCTCCACACCAGAATTCAATGTCACAGTGAACCAGTGTATAAATCATGCCTTACGGTATGAATCGATATTAAGTCTTTCAAATAGAACCATGTCTTCGAAGAAACAGTGTCAATCTCAACTTTCTCTATTCTGTAGCATTTACAGACCATAAGCTTATAATAAGGACAGGAAAATCGGGCTACTTCACCTACTCTGTGAGCAAGTTTCAAACATTTACTAACAATGTAAAATTATGTTTAGCAGATTTAATAATATAATAAAAAATCAACAACAACTTATGCATCTTTAATGTCATCATATACAGTGAGACATGATATGAACATGTGATAAAAGTCAATATAAATAGCACAGAAATGTTGACCAAAAAATTGAGATGTGTCCTTTCCCAACCTCAAAAAGTGCCTTGCCCAATAAACTAAACGTTAATCATTACTGATCAATGTAACCAGTTTCAAATGAATGGAAAAAGGATTTCAAGTACAATCACAAGATATGGTTAAGAGTATCAAAGAAACAGATCCTTCAACTTTACAGTTAATCTGTTTTGCATTCTTCAAACACATTCAGCATGTTCAGAAAAAAAAGCCAGGCAAATAATGATAGACTGTTGGATATGATATCATTCTAAGCTAATTAAGATGTGCGCCAAAACAGAAATATTTCCTAAATAGAATTCATACATTACACGTCCAGAGTTAATCCAAATGGTTCTAGATAAACTAAGGGTAAAACGATAACTGTTCTTAATGTTATGTTTTGAAATGTAGACAAACTTCAGAGAAAATGAATTGATTCAGTTCTTAAATGTTATTACATGTACGTCTATTGAAATGTTATTAGACATATTGACGAGGTAGGAAATTTGTAATTTCTTCTTATTTCAGATTTCACAATACCACAAAATACTGGACAAACAGCAGTAACAGAAAAGTATTGAGACACCCTGAAAGATGGAGAATAGTACCAAGTCGTGGCTTCAGGACAAAAAAATCAAAAATAGAGTCTCTGGCTGAAGAAGCTCCACAAGAAAGTCAAAGATTTAGGAGTTTAGTAAAACCAATAGGATTTACAGTCATGGTAATGATTTGCTGATTTAGAATTAATTTATATATAATATTATACACCTATTGACTGGTTATGAGGGTAATAGCAAGTTTGCTGTCCCTGAGATACCAACTATTGCTCTTGCCCTCATAACCAGTCATTTAGTGTTTTATTATACCGAACAAAACAACTTTCTAAAAAGACTACATACACCACTTGGGAAAAAAACAAATAGTCACATAAACATGCACAAGATGAACTATCAGGTTTTTTTTTGCCTGTGTGGTATTTGTCAATATTTTATTAGGCAGTTAAGCTGCCTTATGCGAGCACCCTAGATTTGTGTTCTACCCAATAAATGCTGTAATACGTGCCATTGTTATTATCTAGCTGGCTATTATGTTATTTATAACTAATTGGACATTTTTTTAATACTTTTATTTCTGGAATACAAAAAATATGACCAGAAAAACCTTAAATGATCGTCGAACTACCCAAAACTTTTGAAGTTGCACAAAGGAAGTAGTGCTCAATAGAAATCCGTATGTAGTTTATTATCCCCTGTGCTTTTGGCTACGATGTCAAAGAACAATTGTATGAAATATTTCATCGCCGAAAATCGGTAATTACAAGTCGTTTATATTTCCCAAATGGCAAAATGCGCAGGAATATTGTTCATGTACAACAAATCTCTATAATAGAGAAATAAAGTAATATAAGTGGGCGGTAATTTTTAACTTATCTTGCCAAATAAGGTTGTTGATATTTTATGAATGAAACGGATGCGGAAATCGACGTTGATGGGATGTTTTAAGTAATGTGGACAACTCGTCCCCGAGACAAGTCGGACCGAATCCACTCAAACCGTCTAAGAAGACAACTTTGACCGTTTGTCAAATTTACTTAGGGTTTCATAAAATATTAGACTAACATGTCTAGCGGAGCCATTAATCTTTTGTTTGTGCATTGGGGTATATTGAGGGGTATTTGGAGGGGCCTGAAGAAGGGAGGGATTTACTATAGAACCCTATGGGATTTTATTTTTTTTAATTTTAAATTTTCAAATGAATATTTCTCAAAAACAGTAAGTGATAGACACATGCAGTCTTCAGTAATGAGAACAGGACAATAAAAAAAATCAACCAAAATATAGGGTGAGTCCCTGGGGGTCATCCCAACCCCCTTCAATTTGAAAATGTACTTTTATCTTGTAAACCGTCGACATCCGCACCCCTAAACAATATATATACTTGTATGGGACAATAAAACAAATCAAATGAAAATAATTTGGAGGAGTCCCGGGTGTCTTCCTTACCCCTCCTATTGGAGAACTTGGAAATAGTCCAGATCCCCACCCCTAAACCATATATATTCATGTATGGGACAATAAAACAAATCAAATGAAATATAGGGGGAGTCCCTGGGGTCACCCCAACCCCTCCTGTTTGAGAACTTGGAAATGGTTGAGATCCCCACCCCTAAACCATATACATTCATGTATGGGACAATAAAACAAATCAAATAAAATATAGGGGGAGTCCCTGGGGACACCCACCCCCTCCTGTTTAAGAACTTGTAAACAGTCAATATCCCCACCCCTAAACCATATATATTCATGTATGGGACAATATAACAAATCAAATGAAATATATGGGGAGTTCCTCGGGTCACCCCACCCCCTCCTGTTTGAGAACTTGGAAATGGTCGAGATCCCCACCCCTGAACCATATATATTTAAGTCTCCCAAACAAAGTTTGGAGACTCATTGTTTTTGCTCAGTTCTTATTATTTTTATTATTCTTCTTTTTCTTTTTCTTGAAAACTTGTAAACGGTCGAGATCCCCACCCCTAAACCATATATATTCTTGTATGGGACAATAAAACAAATCAAATGAAATATAGGGGAGTCCAGGGGGGTCACCCGCACCCCCTTCTTTTTGACAACTTGTAAACAGTCAAGATACCCACCCCGAAACCATATATTTTCTTGTATGGGACAATAAAACAAATCAAATGAAATAAAAGGCGAGCTCCCTGGGGTCACCCCCACCCCCTCCTGTTTGAGAACTTGTAAACGGTTGAGATCCCCACACCTAAACCATATATATTCTTGTATGGGACAATAAAACAAATCAAATGAAATATAGGGGAAGTCCACGGGGGTCACCCCCACCCCCCCTTTTTTTTTAAAACTTGTAAACGGTCGAGATCCCCACCCCTAAACCATATATATTCTTGTATGGGACAATAGAACAAATCAAATGAAATTTCGGGGAAATCCCCTGGAGTAACCCCCCCCCCCCCCCTTTTCTTTTTGAAAACTTGTAAACGGTCAAGATCCCCACCCCTAAACCATATATATTCTTGTATGGGACAATAAAACAAATCAAATGAAACAAAGGGCGAGTCCCCTGGGGATCACACACCCCCCCTTGTATTCTTACCCCACCCCCCCCTTCAATTTGAGAATGTGCTTTTATCTTGTAAACGGTCGAGATCACCACCCCTAGACCATATATATTCCTGTTCGTCATTTCAAGAAGATTTGAATGACATACAGGGTTAATCCATAGACGTCACTTATGCATATCACAAACCAATTTGTACTGGACTTTGCCCAATGTCAGGCGACCATGGGAATGACGAATTATTGGAGCTTTGTTTGGGAGACTTCGTAACAGCACCCTGTCACAATTATTTCTTGTCATGTATTGGACAATAAAACAAATCAAATGAAATATAGGGGGAGTCCATGGGGACACCCCACCCCCTCTTGTTTGAGAACTTGTAAACAGTCAAGATCCCCACCCCTAAACCATATATATTCATGTATGGGACAATATAACAAATCAAATGAAATATGTGGGGAGTCCCTGGGGTCACCCCACCCCCTCCTGTTTGAGAACTTGGAAATGGTCGAGATCCCCACCCCTAAACCATATGTATTCATGTATGGGACAATATAAAGAGTCCCTGGGGTCACCCCACCCCTCCTGTTTGAGAACTTGTAAACGGTCGAGATACCCACATCTAAACCATATTTATTCCTGTTCATCATTTCAAAAAGATTTGAATGACATACAGCGTCAATCTCCTAGGTGTCACATATGCATATCACTTTACTAGACCAAACCAATATAAACTGGACTTTGCCCAATGTCAGGAGACCATGGGAATGATGAATTATGGGGGCTTTGTTTGGGAGACTTCGTAACGGCATCCTGTCACAATTATTTCTTGTTTATTATAAAATTTTATTGATGCAAAAAATGAGTCTAGGTTAATTGAATTTACTTTAACTATTAATAAATTATTTCTGGGCCTATACTAATTTTCATTTATGGCTCATTTTAAAGAAAACATATAAATCTTTCAAGCAGTGTAAAGCCCGAGAATGTTTGACCAACTGTTTTATAATCACCTGTCATTTTATTCCAAACTTGGTATGAAGTAACATCATACATAAGGGGGTGAAGATGGGGGTCATTTACATTGATATATGAGTTGCTTTTGAAAACCTTGATGAAATATTAATTAATTTGCCTTAATAATCAATTCATTAAATGAACATAAATGTACAATATACGAATGTTTAATGTTTGTTCTTTCAAATCTTGAAAAAAAATTTGAAGCAACACTGCCACAGTTTTCATAATTACGTTTGCCTTGGTTTTTGGTTAACTGCCTACAGCGCTTACAGTGCTTTGATTTTATTTACTGTAATCAAGACCAGAAATCCTTGTGTAAAAATTCCAGTGCATATGATAAACACTAGCTAAAATATATTACCGTACACTAAAGCAATCCCAGATTATGAAGACGACAACAGACCCATACCATACATTTGTTATGTTTTAGTTCTTAAAATATGTCACATTTTTCTTTTTTAATTGCTTCTGGTAAGAAATATATTAATTTGAAATTACGACGACAGACACATACAGATTATACCGTTACGATATTTCAGAGTTTAAAGTTGCCAAGCGCACAAATCAAAGCAGATTTGTCACTGACCTCATTGTTGTCCAATGAAAAATTAGTATGAAAAAGTATGGGAAATATGCTTATAAAACTATTGACCAGGGTAATAGTCTTTGAAACTATTGACTGGCAAATAGTCTGTGGAATGAAATAGCACAAATATTTCATTCTTTTTTATATAGAAAAACACATACTGAGGTATAACAAGTCACTAACAAGAATGTTGAAGAACTTGTTTACTGCCTGAATACCGCAAATTGCATATTCCATTCAAATATATTTTTTACTTGAATTTGAATTAAGTTTAAACAATACCAAAGGGTTTGTTCTTTTTCTATATACTAGTGCTCACCCCGGTATTTTCAAGTAGCACCATGGGATTTTGAATAGCACTGTTTTCGTAAAATTATAGCACCACATTTACAGTCATGACAGTCTACTATGAATACAATTAAATTGCACCATGCATAGTAAAAGATGTGGCACTATGTGTAACCATACTACATTAAGGCCCTGGGAGAACACTGTTTATCTATTAAAATGTACAAGCATGACAAGCAAAAATGGTTTAAGATGGATTAAAGATGTAAGTTGTACGTCAATAATGCACATAAGATGATATTAGAAAAACAGAAAAGTATCAGAATAAATTGAAAGATAAAAGATAACAACAAACCATATGCTTGGCTTCAGGGAAATAAAAATAATCTAAAATCAAATTACTTGACAAACTGAAGAGTATATGTGACTAATGACCACAGAACCAGATTGGAAAAAACACCAATAGAGTTCCTTACTAAATGATAAGATTTTAATATATTTTTAATTCTGATACATTGCTAAATTGGTATATGATTTGATTATTATAAGAAAAATTTTATTATCATCAAATCATGTTTAAAAAAGGTTGGTGTTTCATATGCTGCACAAATGAGAACTATTTTTATTATGCCCCCACCGTAGCGTAGGGGGCATTAAGTTTTACCCTTGTCTGTCTATACGTATGTACGTACATATGTACGTCCCAAAATTGGTTTCCATTCTCTAACTTT